CCCCCCCACCCCCCGACCCCACTCCGCTTATACCCCGGCCCGCGACTCACGGGGACAGGTGAATTAAACAAATATATACAATCCTTAGCGTTTGTTCGTATAAAAAGCGTTCGATCGCATAACGAGACGCTTAAGCATTCATGTGGTGAGAGTGTCTAATCGTACTCGATCGATGAAACTAGTCGGTTAGCTTAAGAAATTTCGCCGTTGCGCCATACAATGTTAAAAGAAGAAGATGAACGAAAGACAATAAAGCACAGAAAGAGACAGAGGAAAAAACGAAGGAGAAACACGAAAGGGTAATATCGATCGACGGTGCGTGTGTGTTGTATGTACATATATACCGGAAAGAAGAGTATACATATCAGGGAGGAGAGGAAGGGCCGCATTAGAATATCTTCTCCAGCAGCATCCACACGAGCATGATCGCGATAGGCGCGACGTAGTGTATCGGCACGGTGTAGGTCGCGCTGAGCAGATCGCCGCACTGCGCCCGCAGCGCGCCGTATTTCTTCGCCAGGTCCGCTTTCTCCTCGACGATCGCGTTGTACTTCTCCTTCACGATGACCAGCTCCTCGTTGATCTCCATCATGCGCTGCGCCTCGTTCTTGGTGCGGTAGTAGAGCTCCCGCAGCTTGTCGACGACGAGCTCGGTGGACTCGCGCGTCAGCCAGTCCTTCAGCTCGTCGAGCTCCCGCTTGACGATCTGCCGCGCCTCCAGGCTGTCCTCGCTCCTCAGGCTGTCCAGCGATCCGATCAGCGTCTGCAGTATGTATTCCCTGCTGTGGTAACACGGCTGCATCGCGTCGTTCTTCGTGGTGGGCTTCAGGGTCTTCACGTAGTCGCCCTCCAGCCGCTCCTCGTTCTCCGCGCGTTTCGCCGCCACGTCGAGCGGACGCGGCTGCTCGTCCGTGCTGCCGTCGACGAACGTCGCATCCTCGTTGCTACCGACGAGCGTTTCCAGCGATATCTCCGCGACGTTGTCGATTTGTTCGATCGGCTCGTAGTGCAGCTCCGCGTGCTGAACACCCTCGGTGTTGGCGAATCGCACCTCCATCTTACAGGGTGCCTGCTTGAGTCCCTCCTTCCTGTTCTCCACGACGGTCTTCTCGCTCGCGTCGTCGCTCGTCGCAACGCTGCAGGCATCGTCGGTCGCCTCCGAGTTCGTGTCGGAGTCCGCGTCGTCGGGGTTGTCCAGGTTGGCGTTGCCGTTGACCAGGGTTCTCCTGGAGGACAACGGCGCGGGCGGCAGGATATACTCCGTGAAGCAGCCGACGTAGTCCGTGACCTGCTGCTGGTCTTTACTGAAGGACAGGTCGGACTTGAGCTGATTCGAGTCCACGTCCGGCGAGCTCGTCTGGTCGTCCTGCTCGGGCTTGTAGCAATTGACGTCGCTCTCCATCTCGATGTTGTCCACGTGGATGGAATTCAGCTTGTTGAGGATGGTGTTTATCGCCTCTATGGGATCTTCCTCGGCCTTCGAGTCGAGATTCCCGCCCACCTCCAACTTCAGATTCATATCCTGCAAGGTCTGCGTGTAATTCCTCAGGGCGGTGATCTGCTTGTAGATATTGACCGAGTCCGAGCGGGAGTCGCGCAATCTCGCCCGCAGGCGCTTCTCGATCCTCGACTGGTCCTCGAGTCGCTTGGTCAGGTCGCGTTTCTCCTGCTCCGCGCTCAGCAACACGTCCTTCACCTTCTCCTCGCTCTCCACGAGCTTGTTGGTGGTCTCCTGGAGCTTCTTCTGCGTATCCGCGTACTTGGCGCTGAGCTCTTGCAGCTCCGTCTGCGTGTACTTGGCGACATTGTGCAGGCTTTGGCACTCCTCCTCGGTCTCGCTCAGACGGCCCTCCAGCTGCACCAGTCTCTGCGTGACCTCGAGTTTCTCCTGCAGGATCTTCTGCAACGCCTCCTTCGCGGCGTTCTGATACTGCGCCTTCTCGTCCTGCAACTTGGCCAGGTCGTTCCTGATCTTGTCCTCGGTGTAGTTCTTCGAGTAGACCGCCAACTGGCTCTCGACGGTGACGACCCACGACAGCAGGCGGTCCTCCGTGATCAGCGCCTTCCACGACTGGTTGGCGGCCTTCCGGGTGTTCTCCACGAGCTGCTGCAGGTAGCCCAGCTTCGAGTAGAGGGCCTTCTCGCGCCTCGAGGCCTCCTGCATCACCTGATTGAGTTTATAGAGATCCTCCAAGGATACGTTACCGGCGGGCGAGCTGACGGAGGTGCTGAGGCTGGCCTTGGCTTCCTTGCCGTCCGGCAGGTACAACTTTAACGTCGCGATTATACATCCGTGTGTAACTTTCTTTGTACTTTCCACCACGTCCACGCCGAATTGCACTATGTCCCCGGAGCATACCTCCTTGGGCGTCGACTCCAGGCCGGAGGCGCTGAGTCTCTGGTTATTGACGAACGTGCCGTTGCTGCTGCACGTGTCCTGCAGGTAGAACTTGCCGGAGGAGTACCAGAGCAACGCGTGGTTCCTCGACAACACCTTGCAGTCGAAGATCGCGTTGTTCAGCGCGGCTCTCGCCCTGGCCACCGAACGACCGATCTTCATCGGCTGCTCCAGCGTCAACGTCCGCTCTTGGAACGGATGGGAATTGTCCCGACAGATCAGGACGCCCTTGGCGGTCATCTTGTTGTTCGGCGCGTTGTTTTGGTTCACGTTGGTATTGTTGTTCGGCCCGACGGGCGAACTGACATTTTGTATCCACCCGCCGCTGCTAGCTACAACCATAGCCGAGACGGATGAGAGTCTTCCACGGACGGATCCAACAGCTGCACCGAAAAATACCAGTTCCGAGATAACGCGCGCGCGAGACAGAGAGGGAGGGAGAGAGAGAAAGAGAGAGAGACACGCACTCGGACAGTAGACGGCTCTCCGTCTCCTCGCGTCGAGAGCGTGTCGAACGCGCACCAGCGTCGCTCCGATCCCGGTCACGAGGATCGCGGTGTGACCTTTCGGGGCCCAGCGCTCGGCGCAATCAACCGTGACGACACCGTGTTTGGCATGTTTCTTCAATGAAAATATCGCCGAGTCGCCGTTCACTCCCCCGCGGCGCTCCTTTTTATTTTCGTCGGCGGATCCTCGAGTCCGGATCGACGCGTTCGCGCGCCGAAATTCCGCGATCCGGAAGGGACGTACGCACCGCACGACACGCACCCGATACGAATCGATCTGCTACGATTCGTGCGAGGCGGCGGAACAACGTCCGAGACGCGAGCGTACCTCGTCCCGAGACGACTCGTCGTGCCACAGACGGAACACGTCGGCTAGGCTCTCGGGTAATTTCATTCGTGCGTGATCCTCCACATCGGCTATGGTCCGCGATTCGCCGCTGGAGCTCTTCTCTCTCTCTGTCGCTCGCTCGCTCGCTCGCCCGTTCGCTCGGCCGCCTGCTCGCTTACTCATTCACTCACTCACTCCACTTCACCAGCACGACGCGAAGGCGACGCCGCCCCGTCGCGATTCGAGCAACGACGACGAGGCGAATCGGGATCGACCAGCGCGGAGAGCGTACGGCCAGCCTGCCTTTCGGGATCGGCTCGGGAAGATATCGCGCACGGACGATGTACGACCCCGTGGAAACACACAGTGGCCCGTGTTCCCCTGACTCCCAGCACTCCGGTTCCGCGTTCCACCGTCCCATCGACCACCGCCATGGCGCGCGGCGCGGAGGGGCCGGGAGGGCACATGCCCACCTCACTTCAGACGTATACGCGACCGCGATCGGAAAATAACTCCGTATCGCGGGAATAATATCCTCCGCACGTCGCGCGTGGCATGAGACGGATGTAACTGATTAAAGATGTATGTAAGATACCGGCTGCCGCCGATGTCCGAAAAACCCGAGCGTAACATATGTCGAGTCGACGCGTTTATAAAAAGAACGGGCTTTAAAAGTCAAAAGTTGCGCAACCAGCGATACGTAGCGCGTTCGTGTTCTCATAAAGCGATCATTTCAGTTCGTACGAGTATCGTCGACGAGCTTCTCGTATGTCCCGAGAAAGAGAGTGGGAAAGAGAGAGGAGGGGGAGGGAGGGGAACCTGCAGGAATCGACTTTTCCAACGCCGTCAGTACGGCCTTTCAAGTCTCGCATAACCTAAAACTGCGAGAGTGCACACCGAACGTTATTGTTAACTTTCTTCAGAACATTATTCCTCTTTGTTGCATAATTAGTCACTACGGAAATCGACGATACTATAAGACGATAGGTCTGTTCGTTTTCGCTGCACCGCTGAACTAGTGCAATAAGTTGAAGCGAGACAAGTATATGTTTTTTCACTTCAACTTATTGCAAAACGAACAGACCTCATACTATAAGAGAATTGTTGAGATATTGCGTTGTACGATTGAAGTTGTAATTTTTGTCTCATTCTGCTATCGTTCAAACTTGATTTTATGATGATATCTACTGTTCCAATTTTAGAAAGTATTCTCCTGCGAAAGCTGATAATTCTATTCTGAAGCATGTCGGACGACGAGGATTACATGTCCGACAAATTTCTACTGAGCTCTGAAAAAGATGTCCCACCGAGCCTTATACATAGGCACTCTGACAGAAGAGAGCATGCGTTAATGAAGAGAAAGGCTGAGATTGAATTAAGAATGAAGGAGAAAAATAAACCGATGCGTGTAGTCGAGGCGGAAAAAAGGGAGGAAGGCTTATCATCTGCCATTACTAGTACTAACAAAGGTCTGTGTTTTGTACGTACATCAAGTATCAGATGTTTGCAAAAGTTCATATAATATTAAAGCCATATTTATTTATAATAACAGTGAAATGACACAATATTTTACGTCAAAATACTGACTGTTGCTATCAATAACCTTTTGTCACCTTTTGGGCAAAAAAGAAGAAAATTTGATACCACACTGATAAAATGACTCATCTTTTGAGAAAGTCCGTTTGTGTCTATTTGTGACCTTGTGAATGTTTGCAAGCACCTAATATATAAAATAGATAAATACAAAGTAAGAATATGTCAGATAAGTAATTTTGTCAATGAAGAAATTGATTTTAACAATTTACCTCGTCCACAGGTTTCGAGATGCTGATGAAGATGGGATATAAACCTGGAAAGGGCATAGGCAAGAGCCAATCAGGAATGGTCGAGCCGATTCCTGTGGAAGTGAAGGCTGATAGGCAGGGTTTGGGCAAGATATTGAAGAGAAAAGAATCGTACAATGGCAAGGACGCAGAGGCAAAGCTGGATAATATGAACATGACGGATTTCCGCAGTAGAATAGCGCAAGAAAGGGCCGAGCAATTACAGAAGGTCGATGTATACAAGAGCCAAAAAGTGTGCCAAGAATTGGATGCCAAAGAGAATATCGAGGAGCCTGAGGAATCGTGGTTCTGGCCGCAAAATAACGAGGAGGAGACTGACGACGACACCGACGACGATCGCCGGTCAAATGACGCTGACGCGGACGACGAAGAGCTCAGCGACTCAGAGAAACTTGAGATTCTCACGAAATATTTAAGGAAGAAGCACTTTTACTGCATTTGGTGCGGAATGAAGTTCGACGATGAGGAGGATCTGCGAGACAATTGCCCGGGAAGTACGAGAAACGATCATTGAGTGTAAACCGACGAATGTAAATAGGATTGGAAAATTTGTATTAACACTAAATACCGATAAATTCGTCGAAATCGCTGTAAAATACATTCATCCGTGTCTCATCGAGTTATACTACATTAAGAACATTTCCCAGGAATTGACACACTAAAATATATCGATGCACACGAGAGGTAAATTAAATGTTGCTTAAATATGACCACCTGCCGCGCCCGCGAGACATAAAAAGCCCATTAGGCATACGATGCAAAATATTGAGGAAGGAAATAACGTCTCGGGCGAGAAAAAAATCGAGCGTCGCGCTACAACAGCCCCGAGAGCGGCAGGTTCGTTACCCCCCGCCTGTTGAATGCTATCAAGGCAACGGGGAACCTCCGGGAATCTCGGCTTTTACACGAACGAGCGAAAGTGGGATATTACCTATAAAAGCATCCGTTTGATTCTCTCCTCTTTCATTTCACCCGGAAACCTCTGCGGCGACTCTCTGCCGGAGAAAGATATCGATAGAACGATATTATTATAATGTTGCTGTCCTCCAAGTCTTTGTTGATCCTCGCGCTTTACGCTACGATCAACGACGCCGAAGTGGTGGACGACGAGAATTGCGAGACCCTGCAGACGGAAGTGCGGATCACCAAGGACGAGTACGACGAGATGGGACGGCTGCGAAGAACGTGCAGCGGCGAGATATCCGTCACGAAATGCGAAGGGTTCTGCGACTCGCAGGTGCAACCGAGCGTTGTCACCACCACGGGCTTCTCGAAAGTAATTTCACGCGGAATGGGAGTCTCTCTCTCTTTCTTTCAAAGACGCTGTCTCTCATAACCGTCTGTTTATTGCAGGAATGTTACTGCTGCCGTGAGGGCTACCTGAAGGAGAGGCCCGTGGTCTTGAATCAATGCTACGACGCGGACGGGCTCCGATTGATGGGCATCGACGACGAGACCATGGAGATCAAGATACGCGAACCCGCCGAATGTAAATGCATCAAGTGCGGCGACCTTGCGAGATAAGAGCCGGTGTCGAATTGTACAAACGATGCAAAGCTGATTACAAACTATTGCGTAACTATCGATAAGATAAAACGACGAGATAACGAGATGTATTGTAACCACGATGAAAATAAACAAGTTTCCCGACATGTTTGTACCAATGATATACTTGCAGCCCTGAGACGCGCGAAAACTTGTATTCGCAGACGCCAGGCCCGTGTTTCAACAATGATAATTATAAAGATATTGCTTTCCATCGGAAAACTTCGCTAATCTTAATATTCCGTGTGGAACGTACGTGCATGTAAATCACACTCTTGTGTATCGGTGAACATTTGCAGACAAATACAAGTCATTTGAACAAAAGATGCATATGTTTATTTTATTCTAAAGAGCCCTTCCTCCTGGCCTATCGACCATACGTAGAATTCTCCATATATTTATTCAACGCTACGACATTTTAACGAGGATAAAAATAATTTTTCACTGACAAGAATAGCAACAGATGTGTTTGAGCGATTAAGTAAAACTTTTGGCCTTTTGACAAAGTAATGTGCAAGGATGACGGATAAGACGACTCGATTGCTTACTAACATAGTTAACATTAAATCTGAAAGAACTATGACAAGAGATGATACTTAATTAAATTTTTACAGAAAATCACTTGTTTCCGGTCATATCATTTATAAAAAAATTTGTTTGATTTGTACGGCTACTTTAGAAGAATTAATTTAACGAATGATATATAATAATGTACATATACATGTACAGAATGTCCTAAAAAAAAAAAGAGGCCAAGAGATCTCCAAAGCTCTACAATATTCGCAAAAATAATATGAAAATATTCATTTAGCTTTATTCAAAGCGTATGTATAAATAATATACATACATATATAAAAATATATAGTAAACCAGTTCATGGCTTAGCTGTTTACAATTCATAAACAGTCAACATTTTTTATGAAAAAAAATTTTTTTTTAAACTTAATTCTTATAAATTATGGAAATAAAGTTGCGCACAGCATCGCAATCACAATCGCAAGATGAAACCATCTCCATTACAAGTGAACAGCATAGAGATTGCCCTAGTATATAGGTGATTTACACAGAAATATAATATTTGTACAAAATCTCTACCTTTATCCGAAATTCATAGTATAGTATACTGGATTTAGCAATTAAGCATTGTTTTTAAATATACAAAAGTTACATCTGCAAAACATATTTATCTAAATTGTTATACAGTCAGTACCTGAGATTATAAAGTTTTAAATCATAAAATGTATTTAAATCAATTGGCAGCATGTTATTGAGCAAAGATAAGAAGATTAAAAAATAAAGTGCGTATAAATAAAACTATATAGAATAAAATGTTGTGTTCCTTCATATTTACATGGATACATATCGTAATTTCTAAATAGGGTGGAACTATTAGATTGCTGTAGCAACGGAAAATCTTGTTTAAGTGCTACATATATGAATTCGGGGGCGAATGTGCCAGAAAAAGCATTTCTTACGTATACATATTTTATAAGTATATACACATATATACAGTGACTCTGACTAAAATGTAGTGGAAAAGAAAGGGGGAGAACACGACCACCTATGGTGTATAAAAGCTTCGGGCAGGAGACTTATCGGCACAGTGAAGTGCCAGAAAAGGGAAGCAATGTACCGTTCGAGAAGCAAACTCTTCTGTTATCTTGGTGAATAAGCTAACACATATTGCAAATACTTATGAAATAAATCTAATTCTCCGAGTTGTCTTCCTCGTTTACACGTTGCGTGAAATAGATAATAATGAAAATATCTACTTACTCGGCACAGTGCTCAATGGATTGCTGATATGTCTGCTATATGGAAGTTCGAAAGCGATTGTCGGAGTCGACGAATGTCAGGCGATACGTGTGATACACTTCCTTCAATATCCGGGATGTATTCCAAAGCCAATTCCCAGTTACGCATGCAGAGGACGTTGTAGCAGTTATCTGCAGGTAAGATAAAATAATTAATTAATAATAACCTTACAAAAAGTGTGTAACAAGCAACAATATCTATCTATCTATCTATCTACAGTTTCCAGGAATTATGATATAATGAAGATATAATAAACAAAAATTGCAACATCTTTATCTCAACAAGTTTCCTAGCATATGGCATATATAATGGAATTTGTTTTTTATTCATTCTCAGAAAATATATTTTTCTACACGAAATATGTTGTGAAACTTACTGAGGTAAGAATGTTGCTTTTATCTACTGAATGTACAGATAACTAAGTTCAATGGACAATATCTTTCACAAGTTTGCTAATATCTCTTATAAGTTTCCTAATAGGGATTAATACCCTACTAATAAGAAATAATTAACGCAATATACCATATATAATATCTTATCCAAATGTTTTCGAAAGCCAATACAAGAATGGATGGATATATCTGTGATTTTAATAAGCATCATAATAGAAGAAACGCACTCTATATAAACTATATATACTAAAGCACATTTGAAGGATATAAACATTAACAATCACACTAATATTGAAAATATACAAATATTGTGTGTGTACTTGACACGTCTAACAAATTGTTTTGTGTCATTTTCTGAGTACGAGAGATATATATGTATACAAATATATACACATATATGTCTCTCTACACATATATTATGCATATAAAAAAGCTGTGGCACACGCGAATCCACGCGCACGATACGTGTTCGATATTTATTACACGCACAGGTGTCCGGATCCAAAATGTGGCAAATGGAGAGGAGCTGCATGTGTTGTCAGGAAAGCGGCGAGAGAGAAGCTAGTGTGTCCCTGTTCTGTCCGAGGGCGAAACCGGGGGAGAAGAAGTTCAGAAAGGTAAGTCCGCTTCCGTCCGTGACCTGGCGACGACGCGGTATCGATGGCACGATCAGCCGATCGCGAGTTCTCAGTGATCGTAAACGTCGCACACCAACCGTTCGTTTATTCCACCGACCGTCACTAGCCCGAAATCAGCGATCACAGCTTTCGACACCACGAGTTTCGCACAGCCATATTGTTTTCGTACGCGGCCAACGATGGCGGCCAATCGGACGCGAACGTCGCGCGTATTTTAAAACAGATTCAAAACGTGATCGAAGCCAACCCGATGCGCACGATTTCCGATCATTTTTACTCTTATTCTTTACAAGAGATTCTGGGAATTCGAAGAAGATAATTTTTCGGTGAGTTGTGCGACAACTTTGCGTGCAAACGAACAGAGTCGCAGCAATATCTCGCTGCTTCTGTCACAAATCCACGCATTAAGTCCGTTTCTCGCATTTAACATCGTAAAAGCCTTTGCACGTAAGAAATTTTTTGTCGTAACCGTAAACCCATAAGAAAATTGACCAATCGCAACTCATTATTCTCCTTGCAATTGAAGAATAATCGACTGCGATCGTGTCAATTTTCTTATGGATTTACGGTTACGACTAAAAATTTGTTACGTGCAAAGGCTCTAAGAAAGAAAATTAATCAAGATGACATAGAGAAGGTTATTCCATTTTCGGATAAATTTATCTAATGGATAAATATCTGAAGGTCGTTTCCTTACGGGAATAAACTACAAAAATATGAAAAAAGTTACTGGTATATTCTTGAGAAAATATAAAATCATATGTAAAAATTTTTCTCCCTAGATTATTGTTCTTCAATAATGTTTTTCAATAGTAAGTCAGTAATTTCTTCATAGTCTTGTAATTTATTTTCATATGGGAACATTCTTCAAATATTTATCTATTAGATACATTTATTCGAATAGAAATAAGGTGCAAGAAGATAAGGAACAATCGGCTTATAAGGATTTCGACTGATACGATTGTGTTTTACAGGTCATCACAAAGGCGCCATTGGAATGTATGTGCAGACCATGCACCAGTATAGAGGAGTATGCGATAGTTCCTCAGGAGATCGCAGGATTCGCCGACGAAGGCCCATTCGCCACGTCTGCGCACTTCCGACGCTCCTCCGGCTTACAATAGATATACTTTCTCGCTGAAACCTCACACTGCCGCAAGAATCGCACGGTAATTGCATAAGCTTTAGGAATTACGAGACTAATCCGTATATACGCGACGCGATTGAGACTCTACGTTCAGTAATTATTCGCTATTATAAATATTAAGAAAAAGAGCCCTCGACAAATGCTGTTATTTTTCTCGTCGGCTGAGTAAAATCGCGATAGATTATATGTGTACAATGAATACAAATGTATCTATGTAATGTGCACACGAGACACGCAAATAAACATGTCTTCTGATTCCAAGAACCGAGAAGCAAATTACATTACACAGCAATTTCGTTCTGGTCTTAACCCGGGAATAGTCACCCGGGGTCATTTAGATTCCAATTAAAAGTCGCTATTATTAACAATATATAGCACATTGTCGATTGATCTATATAATTTATTATTATTTAAGAACATTTTAAACATAGGTTTACTTGCTACTTTTTGAAAAAAATTAGGAGAAACCAAAACAATATTTAAGAAGCGAAATAAACACCTAACCAAGAAACGAAATAAAAACCTAACCAGGTGTTCGTGATCGTTTACGAAAAAAAAAAAAAAGAAGGTAACTATTTTCGAGTTAATGACTCGTGCGCATTTAATTGCGCTATTTCATCGGCAAAAGCACCGCGAACTTGGAGGAAAGTAATGAATAACGGTTTGTCATGGAGTTCTTTTTTTTATTTTTTATAGATATGATTTATATATATATATATAATTTATTTATATTTATATATTTATATATTTATATCATAGAAGTGTATGTGTGTGTGTATCTATGCGTCGTGAATCCGCGTCCTTAGAGCGATACTTTTTTTTTTATTTATATTATGTATATGTAAGTCTATGTATACACACGCGTAAGTACACGCAGATATACGGATGTACGTGCGACAGATATACGTGCGTGTTCGTACGCGGGGGGAAAGAGGGAATATCGGCGTGCAAGAACGCGTCGCAAGACGACATGTACGCGACATTCGCGGAGGACGGCGCAGCTTCGCTGCCGCCGTTCTCCGTGTGTATGTATATATAATCCCCGTTTGAATCTTCCGTTTACAGTCTCGCGCGTTCCGTTATTTACAATGACACACACACATACATACATATATATATGTATGTATGTATGTATGTATATATAACTTCTCTAGTCGTTATTTCACTTATCCACAGTGTTTTCAACAGTTTTTTTTTCCTTCACTTTGTTCATATATAAATTAGTGTAATTCTTTTTTATTATTTATCTAAGGGGTCTCGTGAAATGCATCACGTACACATGTATACACACTCGCGCACGTTTCACTTTCTCTTTCTCTCTTTTCTTATCGCGTCTACAAATCGTTTCTTACTTCTCCTTCCTTCGTATGTATCGACCAATAAGTGAAATTAATTTTCCATGAGAGGAGACCGAAGGAAAAACTCTCTCGTCTTTCCTTCGCTCGCTCACTAACAAACCATCTCGCTATGCTCTACGCAATTCGTAACGCGAGTCGCATTCGAACTCCTCTACATCTCGCATCTCGAACTCCCGAGTCGGGAGAGTCGTGTCATCGATAGATCGCAGACAGATTGTCGCAAAAAACAAAAAGAGAGGAGAAAAGAGACAACGGAAAGTTTATACAAAAAGAATGAGGAAGGGATAACAGTGTAGGAAACATTGCGAGTGGTGTCGAACATTCATAACTCATCCGAGTTGAGAGATTATGGAACATATTGCAGATCGTTAGTTTACTTCAAATAATAATAATATATTTATATATACAATATCCACAGCTATATGTATCTAAATTTCGAGTAATTTTTTTTTTTCAATAAATCCGTAATTAATTTTGTTACATGTGTCCTATTTCGAAAATTGTCGATCCACGATTCCGATCATTTTAGGAAAGAAGAAATCGAAGCAAAAGAACTCCCGGTATAAATTTTTTTTGTTTTTATAAAGTAAACCTATACGTGTCGATACTTTCGGAAAATAGTTGCCATTTCCCAAAGAAATGTTTAAGATACCTTTATGTAGGTACGACCAATCGTGGGACGCTAAATAGCGATAGGTATGTGTGTGTGTGCCGGATAAATATAAATGTTCTCTCTTTCTCTCTCTCTCTCTCTCATACCTAACACACATACTGAAATTAATCTCTATGCTCATCGATTTGTTTTTTCTTCCACGCGAGCACGCTTGAAACAAAGTTGAGTTCACGCTGTACCTTAAATCAGTTTAATAACAATTTTATACAATTCACTACAGTATCTGCCACGTGGATACATCCAAAGGTTCCCACGCATTGTGCTCAGCTAGCTCACTTTTCTTTCTTTCCTTTTCTTCTCTCTCTCTCTCTCTTTTTCTCACACGCGCACACATCCGTACACGTTCATACATCCACTCACTCTGTGATTATAAATAGCTAGTGTTAAAAAATAGTACCTTAATATGCACACCATTTGTATTCTTTCGTTTTCTAACTTCAACGTATTCTACAGTACAGATCGTATTTCCGCAATATATACCATTTTTCGCTTCACTTTTTACCATCTCTTCATGTTTCACATGTAAATGTCCTTTCTTATAATACATTATAAGTTCTTATTTGTAAAGATATAAATTAGTAATTCCGTTACAGTAATAGGAAGATCTGTCTCGCTGTCAGTGTCAGACTTGGTTATTCTCTGTAATTCTCTGTGTAATCCTTGGTAATCCTCGGTAATTCCTTTAATCTTCTTACTTTCCGAATGTAATCCATGTAAAATTGACCCTACTTAATCAGACGATCTGCAATTCGTTATCTAAATCGTGTAACAAGCACTTCGGTTGTGATCCGTGTTATAGCGTATTATAATTGGAAGCAGCTTCGAGTCTTCCCGATTCCAAGCATGGAAAAAAAGACGTACGTACCAGTCCTATTGAGCGATCGACCTAACGCGCGCTGCAGAGACACTTTGCATATACATAAGAAATACGATAATATTCTCGAATTTTTTTTTGCTTTATTTCAACTTTAAACCATTTCTCATTTAATTATGTATAATAATTATCCCGCATTATTTCTGTAATAATTAATATTTAAGTTAAAGTTTATCTTCATTATGTATATTATCAATGAGTGTCCCATTTCTTCTGTTCACTTCGCGTCCTATGTAAAAGGTCCTAGGCTATATTACACACACCCGCAAGCATCACTTTACCAATATTTATTGTGTCTTTGTTTTTAATTTTACTTGGGGTGTTTCTGGTTTGTGAAAAAAAAAACACAACTGCAATTTGATTTCACTTAGCACGTTGTATGTGTCCATTTAACGGAGGAAACATGTATTCGAGTCTTTTATAAATAGACGATAATGTAATCGATCACAGTATCGTCAACAGCAACCCCGGTCCGCTTTGGGCGATAATTCCTCGATGCTCGAGTTATCATCGGGCTCCAGTAAGTCAGTGAAGAATGACGTGAGAGCGACCATCGCCACGGCATGTCCCTCACGTTCCGCTGGATCCTTGACGTTATGCCAAGTCAAAAACGCGTCACTCGATATCACATTGTCCAGCCATAGTCGGTTTATAATAGTGATGAGGAGACCTACATTGAGATAAATAACGAATACTCGTTAAATTCCCAAGTTTCATGCATCTATGCAGTATATATTGCATAGATTAAAATATATCAAGCGTATAAGCAAGGTGCGTAAGCAGGGAATGGAAGGGGAAAGAGCGCTCTTGCACATGTGTTAGATATGGCTGTGTGTACATGATGATTGTTGATGATTATCAGACGATGATCAGACATTATGATTGTTGATGATTATCAGACGATGATCAGACATTATGATTGTTGATGATTATCAGACGATGATCAGACATTATGATTATTGATGATTATCAGCGGTAGAGATGTATCAAGTATTGCTTCTTTTCCATATAAGTACGATTTTTGAATAAGTGCGTACATAATCGTACTTATATTACTATACGTAACATACGTAAGATTTCTAAATAATAATCGAGACATCGTTTGTCGCGTTTTGTTGAACAGTCATTAATCGTGATGCACGAATGTGTTAACACGATGCAAGCGATTGGTAAATCTTCGTTGCTGTTGTACTACTAGTGCTATTAGATGATAGCTGGATGTGTAAATTATGCATTGCGTGGCGTTATATATTACGTAACGTAATTACCAGACGGATATTCGAGCTTCGTCATATACGATTGAATTGCATAAAGACATTGCAATTCTAACATCTCGTCGGCATCGACATAACGCTGGATCAGCGTTTGCAAGGTTATAAAAATATCTTGGTTGAGTCTCCATGTATCGTGTATGGGTTCTACGTAAAAGACAACAGAATCATATATTAGTACGAAGTAGCCTTGAGAAACTTTTTGGCTGTTGTCCCAAAAAGTCGACTCAGTATCCTTTTGGCATAACAACACAAAGATGACTCAAAAACATCTTTGCTCTGTAGACATAACGTATCATCAGAGATTGTTATCGTTTTACAGTGAATATTGTTTTATTTTTTTTATTTTTTTTTATTATATTAATATATTATAATTTATAATAATTTTCTTCTAATTTTTTTACAAGTTTTCTTTTACGTATATCTTCCGCCGATAAGATTTTACGAGACTCACCTACTGACGTCTCTAAAATGGCAGTCATTAAACTTCTTATAAACTTGGGATCCTTAACTCTAGTATAAACATTTTCCTGAAATATCAAATCGATTTTAGAGATTTTCATACAAGCTAACATATGTATAAGCAGATTCGCGTGTAAAGTCAATTTGAAGAGATATTTACGTTTATCCAACTACAAATATCGTCGAAGGAAGTATTCTCTTTCATGAGCCTTCTGAGATTTTCTTGGATTTGCACCAAATTGAGTTGGTTACTATTAGCAGCGGTGGAACTTTTGGCACTATTACAATCACCAGTTAGGAACTCCAAATGCTGAGGGGAGAAACGTGAGAATAATGAGATTATAGATAAGACATCACGTGTATAGACAATTATTCGTTAAAAGAAAAGTAACTTAGAATACTTACGTAATCCTTGATGATCTTATCCGCATCCTCCATTTCCGGGTCGAGCAAATTACTCAATTGTAGTCCACTTTGGTCCCATTTATCGGCAACCCATTTAGATCCTTTGCTTTGAGATACTTTCACCATAAGTTCTCCGAAAAGTTTACCTACGCACCCGTTCGCTTTCAAGCTTAGAAATATGCTTTTCATCTCGGATAATGGAATAGCTTCTTCCTTTATCGAATATGCTGAAATACAAAGTATCACAGATGTTAATCGATTTGCTCGAGATCGTACTACACGGGTGTGAGGAAACTATAAAATCTTTCTTCAGACCTGTTGAGCAAAGAGTACCTGCACGGCATATTTCTATGGTGTACAATGCAATTCTCATCATAAAAGAAACAATTTTATCTCGAAACTTAATTCAAAAGATTTCATTACACTTGATATATTCGCTGACTAAATTACGAGGAGAGTAAATTTTCGACGAAGAAAGATGTACATATATTACTTACACAATATCTCGCCTAGGTAAGTCCAAATTTTGGGTAAATCGATGACCAAATCGTCTACTATCTGCAACACTTCTTCTAACCTGAAATAGAATGTTATCTTTACGTTTACAAAAATTCCTATGAAAACGTTATTATGCGATTAGATTTATATAAATATCGTCAGTATCCTTTTGGCTAACAACACAAAGATAATTTTTCACATATCTTTACTCCATAAAAAAATTTTGTCATCATTGATTGAATACCTTAGTCATGAACGTGAATTATTTTACACAGTTCTGATCATGATCATTTTTTAATCGATAACTGGACACGTATCATTACTCACCCACTCTTAAAATATTGCAGAGGTAAGATTTTTTCCTTAATCAAATGGGACATAAGCTTAGAAACGTTTTCACGATCGGTAGCTGTCTTCTCAAAAACATGGTTCATACACTCCAGGGTGAATTTGCTAAAGGAGGAACTATCGAACTTCTCTTTAACCTCTAGCGCTGTATTCTGCAAACAGAGGGAAATGCGTTCAATTTAGATCACGTCGTAGATATTTTGGCGTTTAAATATCGCCGGATATATTTGAAGTCGAATAAAACGCTTCTTCAAATTTTGGTTTGTCCTCTTGTTGGTTATGTGAGTAACGTAATAATAGATATTACCACAAGAGACCAAAAAGAAGGTATTGTTGAGTATTATTGCACGCCAATGACTCAAGCATCTCCTATGAGAATCAGAGATGGATCTAAGGAGCGTGCGATTGTGTACGACTTGATAACACACTCGCATCGCTAAACTTATATATTAATATTTCTTATATTATTATTTCAGATTCAGCGGAAGACTCACCTTGACGATTGGCTCTTCAAGATAGTGTCGCAACGTGGAATTCAACGCCTTCGTGAAGTCATGCTCCGACATCGGAGGTTTATGACTAATTGTGCCAGATTGTGAAGCAGACTTCATTATAGGCGAAGGCATCGACATGCTCTGGCTGCGCGAACTATCCAGTAATGAGCTGCCACCTCGACTCGATGATGCGCCACTCATTTGGTGACTACCGTTACGGGAATTCCTACCATCTGTGGAAATAATGACGTTTCTTTTAAAATTCTCTTCCTAACGACACCGGGAATACTTTTAAGCATCATCTCGTATTAAAGTTATTATCTGCATATAAGAAGACATACCATAGGAACTCTTGTAGTCACGGCCACATGGACCCGTCGATCTTGATCTGAAATCACGAGATGGAAATATAATCGACCGTTTCTAATATGTCTATAATGCTAACGTGCAAGGTTTATGAAACGTCAGAATAATTTTAAGATCATGGATGTTCTAGCGTGTTCAGAAACTCTAGTCTTTTGTGTATCATCATATTTGCAAAACACAAGATGTAGGAGCAACAGTTGTGATACGATTGGCAGCAATTGCGTTTGAAATAAAATAGGACTTACCCAGAAAGTGGCAGTGGCATCCTCTTGTCCTGGTCGAAGTTGGTAGACATATTCTCGAGACATGCAAACTTATTTGCACTTATTGTCTTATTGGCGCCCATAACTGGATTTTTCGCCCACAGATAAGCATTTCGACTACCAAGTTGCATATCGTCCATGGGCGGCTATAAAGAAAATAAGAGATGATATATATGATAACAATATTCGCGTTAACAATGTTTAATAGTTAGCGTTTGCATCACAAAGAGGGATTAAATGTTGGTGGGGAAAATTTGCTTTACTTACTGGTTTATTCTTCAGTTTTGCTGTTTCAACTGAGTAGGTCGCAGGCCTCATTCTACCTACAGGTTGGCTCCAGCCATCATCTGTAGGACCAAGTCCTCCACCTGCAAAAAATTATCATTATATGCATGCAAAATTATCGTTGAGGAGAATACGTGCGACATTTATTAATAATACAGAGGCTTTATTATCAGAACATGTAGGAAACTAATTACAACTGTGCGTTATTACAAATGAGACTCACGATTTTTCTTCTTGTCGTTGTTCCGATCGTCTTTTCGTGGAGTGTTCAGCAGAGCACTGTTGAGCTGTGAATCTAATTTCTCAGACTCTGCCTCCTTGGTGATTTCATCTATCGTCTTGGGGCTGCTCTCTACTTCCCTCCTTTTTTTCCACGCCCTGTCTCGTAGTTCTATGACATCTTGTATCATAAAACGTACCCTGGAGTTGATCTTAGGGAGATTTTGTCCCTTTCGAGAAACAATCTCCTGCATCCTGTTGAAGTATTCGTTGATGTCCTGGAATAGAAAACAAAGAGCAAGTGAGAAATGAATAAGACAACAAATAACGGAAATCATAGCTAAAATTTTCCTTTTTGACTAAGAAGTCTATTCACTCTTTAGCTGCATTTTTCTTGTAAAAAATGTACATGTTCCATTTTGAACATAAGAGTGAGAAAGCGAAAATATAAAAATACATCTTTACCTCGCCAGGTCTATCTTCTATATCTGGACCTATCGTTTCGAATAACTTGCACAGGCACTCCATGCTTTCTTCGGAATTTAGCTGCAATAGTTGTTTAATGCAGCGATGCATGATTTTGGTGGTCAATATCGATGCTCTGTATAGCTCTCCGATGAATCTATAAATAAATGTGATAAATAAAATATGTATTCAGAAAACAAAAACTACGTTCTCGCAAAAATACTTTATTATTTGTTATTATTTTGTTACTATTTATTTTATGTATTTTCTCAATAAAAATAATCTTGTTTTCAACTCTTGATGAAATGATAAGTGCAAAAATGACCCTCTCTTACTTTATAGGTACTCTTTCACTTTTATATTTAAATATATCTTGCAATAAGCATGTAGAGAGACATATTGGGCAAAAAGATTCACTTACCGAACATTTCCTACAGCTTTTACACGTTGTCTACGTTCCTTATCTTCGAATGACAATTTCATTTCCTTCTTGAGATTCTAATAAAAGAGCAATAACACAGTCAGATATTTTGAAATTATCATATTCACGATCATGGAGGGAGGAAAAAAAAAAAAGAGTAAAAATAACTACAGATTGAAATAAATCAAGAGAGACACTCACGGGATCTCTGCACTCATCAATTTCTTTAAGTGCTTTGTTTCTCATAATGTCGTCGTTGGGATTTTTCTCAAACTCTTTCTGGCAACGTGTGATGATGAGTTTCTTGAATGTAATAACTTCACCATCAAGGTCAGGCACCTTAACTTCCAACGGACCCAATTCTCTGCACAACTGTGCATACTCAACAGAGTAGCAGGGTTCGTCGACAGCTTTCTCAAACACCAGGCCGATGACGTCCTGTAGCCGTGCGGGCGTATCGATTTCGAGTTCCTTGATAAGTTCCATCAACCTTCCGAACTTTTCCGGAGTGAGCTTGTTCAACACGCCGCGAACGCCGTTGACAATATTAAATGACTTAACTTGATCTGTCGACATATTCGCAGTCTGAACTCTTAGCGGGACCCAAGCATTGTTGATTCTTTTTAATTGCACGTCTTCCTTAACTGATAACGAGTACTGTATAACGTTTGGCTTAGCCGGTTTGCTCGATTTCCCTCCTGGATGACTCTTATTACGACTTGTGGGTGGCTGTAAACATAATACGACCGCCTGATATAGCAATGGTAACACGACACGCACAAGTAATTCCAAAAGCGCAATCATTTCAATCAGAAGGATTGTGTCTTCCTTCACAGGATTTCGGACCACTACTTTAATTCGGCATCATTTAACTAACTCCACTCCTGAGGAGCTATTATGGAACTATTTTACAATTCTGATTGGAAACGTACGTTTCTGACTGGTCGGTTTCCAATTGGAATTCCACCCGTCTTTCGAGGCAATCGTTGCTACGCGACGAAACAAAAAAACGGTAGCGGCCTTCTCGAATCACGGCATAATGCCCGTATCACACAGATTGTAAATTGCATTCGCGTCCGCGCCTACGATTGTTTTTTGATTAATTAGGTAGAGACGTTGGTAATTTGATTAGTCAAGAGACGCGGACGCAATCGACAATCGCTAGCGTGATACCTCATAATATCATAAAACCTCTCCGCGGCTGGGCTGTATGCTGATTAATTTCCTATTCGTGAGATGTGAAACTCTTAATAGGATGGAATATAAAATTTTAATACAGTCAACAGGTCGAACTTGTACTTTGTATATCGTCTTAGTTAAAAAATTATCTGGTCTATTCTTATAATTCAAAACTACTTAATATCACGAATGATTCATTATTTCTTAGGCTGATGACAGAGAACTAGACGTAAACGTTTACATCTAGTCTTCTGCCATCAGCTTTACTGTATCTACGATAAAATGAAAAAAATTCTTGCATGGTTACATTTAAACATGAAATAATGTAAAGAAACATTTATTCTATGTTGAAATCTTGATTATTTGCTTGAGGATAAATTTTAATCTAAATAAATGTGGATTATTGAATAAATTTTAATTTCTTCGTTTAAGTAAAATGTAAATGTATTATTTATTTGAAGACTAAAATAACGAAAGTACTCAAAGTTTGGGACGTGTCCAAGTAAATTGGTATTAATTTTTTATCTTAACTCTTCTGAAAAACTGAAATAGTTCCATAATATATCCCCTAATCTCCAAATATTACAGGTCATTTCGAATAAAATGGCAGATTTCTTTACAGAAACTGTACAAAGAATCGTCCATTCCATTCGACACGACTTAATGTGTTTATTGACTTACCAAACGAGAATTTGCATTAGTCTTCGCAAACCCGGGCATCAACGCATCATGCCTGTTCAAGTGCACTTGAGCAAACGGTCTTAAATCCGTCATAGTGCTAAGACGTACCTATTATAAAATATACATTAATGCAATATATATGTATGAGAGATACAAAATATATAATACAATACAAACATGTAAACAAAAAATATATATTTATAAGAGACCCCCATAGATATTATGTATGTAAGAGGCATATAATAATGCATGTACGAAAGCAACGAGATGAACATCTTACTCTAGAATCCTTAAGAACGATCTCCAGGTCTGGTAGATTGGGCGGTTTGATCTTGCTATTGGGATCAAACTGCAATCTCATGAGAAAGTCTCTGTCGTACATCTTCTTTCCGCCTGTATTGATCGGACTCCATTGATCCTCCTTATACGTATACTTGAGCACCGGTGCTTTAGGCACGGTCTCCGTCAAGGCATCTTTTGTTTCGACGTCTTGCTTCGCAGCTTCCACTGTTGCCGCCGTCAGTTTCTCCTCCTCCTCGTTGGGCATGCTCAACGCCGACACCTTGGAGTTCTCCTCGTTCTTCTGCGCGACCAGGATCTCCAGGTTGATGTCCTCCTTGATCTTGGCGTGATCAACAACGTCGTTGGGAACCACTGCTGGAATTACCGGCGCTGCCGCCACCGTTGCTTTCGGTTGTTGCGTATTGCACACATTGCTAATTGGTGGCTTCGCGTTATCCCCTATCTTCGGAGGGGTGGTTTCCTTAGAGGTTTCCTTGCTAATCGGCAGCTTGTCAACGACGGGAGGAGACGGCGCCTGTTGCACAGGAGTGCTTTCCTTCGACACCTCGACGAGCTCGTGCTTCTCGTTTTTTGACACGGCCAAGATCTCCTTCTCCTTCTTCGACTCGTAATTATCCTTCTCCTTCATGTCCTTGATCTCCCTGACGGATTCTTTATTACTGTCCTTCGGAGCAACCGGGACGGACTGCGACTCCTTGTTGTCCTGCTTGATCTCGGCAGTCTTCGGTGCTGGTGCTGTATTTACAAACGCGTCCATGTCCGTGCCTTCCTTCTCGGCTCCCTTGCGATTCAGTTCGCGAGGTTTCAGCTTGTTCTTGCTCTTTTGCTTTTGTACAGCTTTACCTGCAAGAAGAAAGGAAAGACACACGGTTATACGTGCAACCTCAACCTTACCATTAGAGGGTTAACACCAAATTATGGTATTAATAGTTTTTCTTCGAAATTATCTTTACTTTCTTCTTTAATATTTTGCTAACCTGTAAATATACGTAATAATATAATTCAATAATACACTTTGTTGTTATTGCGTCTATGTCCTAAGGGAAGTGTTCTAGAACGATTAACAAACACTCAATCAATCAATGTATAACGCATGGATAACCAGGAAGGTGTTGGGAGTCTGTTCAACGATATCCGAAGGATATCTCGTCGACGTGTCGATGCACGGCCGACATCGAAGGGGCGCTTCGCTACAAAGAACAAGAGTACCGTGGTCTCGGGACCCGCGTCGATGACGACTTTTGGATCTGGTGCTGCTGCTGGCGCGGCTGCCGCCGCCGCAATTCGTCGTCGCCGTTGTTCTTCGGTCGCCCATGTTTCTCGCGTGTGCATACGTACACGTGAGCTCTCACATCCTCGAGGATGGCTCGAGTTTCAGGGCGATCCGTCGTTCTCGACCGCCGCCCGCGCGCCTCCCCCGCCCCGCCGCGGCCCCACTGATTCAGTATTTATTTATAAACCTGCCAAATCCCTGCCAAACGCGGTGTAGATGCGACACGAAACGCGACGACGACGACGACGATGACGACGACACTCGCATTTTCGGCGACGTGATCGGTAAAAAATGTCGGCGATTCGCGCTTCCGATCGGACAACGATGACGATGGGATGTCGAGAAAGGCCGAAGACGGCGGAAACGAAGACCACACCGGTTTAGCCGCCGAGCACTAGAATTCCGATCCGATTACCGACGACGACGACGAGATAACGAATCGCGAACGATTCAGCGGCTTAACGGTCGAAAAGGATCGGGACGATCGCGGACGATAGTCTCGGATCGAAAAGACACTTCGGAAAAGCCTCGGGGGAGCTCTGGCCCCGCGGCGCCCGACGACTTTCACGCATCTATTTTAACCTGTGAACTGGCGCAAACCAACAGGCACGACATAGGATTTCTTAAATTAGTTCTGTTCGCCGGTTTGCGTTGGAGCAGGCGCACTGAGCGCGCAATTTCGTGTATGGCTCTCTCTCTCTCTCTCTCTCTCTAATCCGCAGAAACGTATCGTGCGCGCGCGCGCGTACACGCGGTGTCGCGTGAAAAAACAGAGGAAAAGCCTTGATTTTATCCATTTCCACGTTAATTTATCTATCCATTTCCACGCGACGACGAGTGCATCGCACAGCGGTACGCGCGATTCCCACTCGGATCGATCGGAAGCCGATGGAGCGCTCGAAACTTCGACTTCCCATCGGATTTCTCTCTATTTTTCCGCCGATAGTTCGGTTGGCGGCTATTAGAATCGGCTGATTAATCGGCGTGCGCACGAGTACCTTCACTGAGCACCATATGCCGCTCTTCGATTCGATTCTCGATGCATGAAAGTAGGTTGAGTCGCATTTTGCAAAAGCGGGTCGAGGTGGCTATCTCGAAAGAGAATCGTACAATCGGCGATCCCCGTCGCCGTCGCCGACGGCCAATAAATAAAAATCGCGCAGAGGTCGAGCGCTCGCGCAATGGCGCGGATTTCGAGAAAGACGATATAATTAGACGGCTCCGATCGCGGTGGAGTCGCGCGCGCGAATCGTCCGTCGTGCATCGACGGAGGCTTATAAGACGAGCGTCGTCGCATCGACAGAAAAACCGGCCTGGTTTCGCGAGTATACCCCTCGTGCGCTCTGGTGTGTGCTGTGCGTGTGTATGTGCTTCTTAATCGTATCGTGAGCCACATGTTATCGCAGTCGTTAGTTGTTACTACATGACGATTTAAATTTGTAATCTATTCCAATTCATTTTCGAGTCGCCTTCTCGTTATCGCGAAAAGCGTAAAAATATCATCTTATCCGTACAATATTCTAACATGTACATTAATATTACGTCAATGATATTTAAAGATATAATAGCTAAAAATTATCTACTATGTTTAAAAAAGGATGGGTTTTGTTAGGTCTAATCTCCATGTTTTGTTAGATCTAATCTCCAAGTTCTTAGATCCAATCTAATCTATTGTACGGTCATCTCAGCAAAGTGATCGTTTGTGTTCCATTGTTTTCCGAAGTGAGCGTAACGAAAATTTTTCCATTCCAAGTTTTACATGATGAGACTTATGTCAATAATGTGAATTATCGACCACTATCTAACAGAAGCATGTTGGTTATCTTAATGATAACAGAAGAATTTTATCTGATTTTCCATTTTTACTCGAGCCTTCGAAACCGAACAAGAATCCAAAAACATTCCTGACTTACCCGTGGTTTTTTAATTCGAATTTTTTAATATTATCGGAAATCTAGAAACAGAAACGACGTGGAAGAAGGAAATTCTTCTTTTCCACGTTGAATTGCATCACATGCGGAGTATGAGAAGTTTGAAACGTGTTAACCGCTCGAATATATTGAATATCAATATCCAGTGCAAGTGGACTTTCAGTATATATTTGAATATATTTCGTTTTGCAGTTATGAATTTATTCAATAATAAATTAGAATTAATAATAATATTACCGGATATTTACCGAGAAATTTTTGCTACTCTCGACTTGGAATACAAATCGCTCCAAATTTGTAATAATTTCACAATTATTTTGAATATCTACTTATCTGGTAGAGATTCCAAATATCGGAGGCTTATCTCGGCGTGTATCTTAATCTTGAGTAAATATATTCCTATTTTAGTAGAGATACACTTTCCTTCGTATCAACTTGAAATTCTTGTACGACCATTCGAGATATAGAATTGTAGACAGAAGAGAGAGTGGGATCGACGCGATCTCCCGAAATGCTTTCGTGCGGCGCGTAGAAATATTTCTGGATCCGCGTCCGGTCGTGGACTTCCCCCGAAAGGCCAAAGTTTAAGCTACATCGAAAATCGTACGTTCGCCCATAACGATATCTGGTGATTACCAACGCATGAACAGTCCTTCAACTATCCAGTCTCGTTAATGAACGAAACGTTACACGGAAGAACGGTTTCTTTTTATTTACATTTTATTATTATAATACATTGGCCAAATGTACAAACTAAGCGACGCCATAATCGCTCTTGAATTTTTAACCAAATATTATATTGGTTAGTCCAAGCAACAGATTAGATTGCAAAACAAAACGTCTAAACAGTAATTTTTCATCAAATAACGCGCGATCTAATCTTACGGAACGAAATTTCGAATATAACCAAAAATAATGCATCGCTTGATTGAAAATAAATATTCAATTTCTTGGAATAATAGTGATTTTTTCCATCAAACAATGTGGTATAATCTAATAAAACAAAATGATACTCGATGTTATATATAAATTGTCCGATTTTTTTCCGAAATTGCGATATTATAAAAGTTGTCCGAGAGTCGAACAAATAATCCAGAACTCGAGTGAAAAAAAATCGTTTGTCCTTGCATATAATAAACGGGGCTCCTCGGTGCTCAAAGCAGCCGCGCGCGCCATTTTCCACCTTGCGGCCGCGGGATTCTTTTCTAATCCGCGGAAGACTTTCACTCGATCGCCGCTGAACGACGGCGGCGGCGGCGGCGGTCCAAGGTCGCGCGCGGCGCCGAAAGTCTCGTGATATTTTTTTCGATGCACACGCTCGCTGCGTGTTCCCATGTGAAATGGCGCATTAGCCGAGGTCCTAGCCGAGCGAAGAGAGCGCGCGCGTGCGCACACGGCACGCATTCACGCACTCGCGTCGCCGCGCGCATTCGCGTTACCACACGCGGCCGTGACCCCGACGAGACTTCTTTTACCGGACCGGAGTGTGTGTACGCGGTTTCGGCAATGATGCTTCTATTATCAATGCATTTCTCCCGCGGGTCAATCATTTCGGCTGATAAGCCGAACCGGATGCTCGAGTGCACTCGTGCACCAAGCGGAAAGCCCAGAGTATCGGGGTCGATCTCGATTTCGAATGGCGCGTCATTCGGTTCTACGATTTTTTTTTTTTTTTTCGAAGTCTCTTTCATGTAATACGTGCATTCGAAAATCTATCCTTCCTAATTGCTATGAACAACTTAAAAAAAGGGGCGATTTTAATATTTGAAATGAAGAGTTTTAATGCAAAACTAATTTAGCGAAATGAATCAATTTTAGTATTTAAAAGTAAAGCTTCTCATTTCCTTCGTATCGTCATGTAAATTATGCAAATTTCTGCCATCTAATCTTTATCATGTATAGAAAGAAGAGAATTAACTCCCATAATTAAAATCTAATTCACACAGGTAAAAATTAGCTGTACATATAATACAATTGAAATTTAGTCAATTTAGTACATTTTCTTGTCCGTGTAACTAATTTTTAGCTCCTACAGCTAAAGACCAGGTCTGGTAACTAAATTTCAATGGATTATGTGAACAGCTAATTCCTTTTTTCCGTGTAGAATTTATTAAAAAATTCGGTCGATACTTATGATTAAAATAACATTCTTCAGTAACAGAAAACCTTTTTGTTGCCAAGCGGTTATAAAAACAACATATGGAAAGCGAACGGAGAACGAGATATACAAAGGATGAGAAGTAAAATTATAAAAAGAATCGCAAGAATGTGCGAACGAAACTCTAACTTGAGAAACACTATCATTGATTTACCGCAAAAAATATATATTGAGAAATTCGCCAAAGTGAATAAATCGGAGTATTCCGAGCGCTAAACAATGATCGCTCGGGTACGTGATCGTGAAAAGATAAATTTCGAGCGAAGAGCGATTCCCGATTTCGATGTATCACATAAATAAATCGCGAAAGCGGAGCGGAGTGTTTCCGACACAGAAAGAGAAACGAATCGCCGACTTCGTGAAGCGGAGTTAAAAAGACGGCATTACGAGAGCCGAGCGGGAACCTTGGCGAGCCAATATGGGTGCTGCGTTCTCTTTCGATCATTCACAAAATGGCCTCACACGCACGACCGCGTGGTCGGCGTGTAACGTCTTTTCCTCCGAACGCCTATCGGATCGCGCTCGTTGCGTGCGATTTAAACAACGTTCGAAAATCGACACGATCAATTTCCAAGACTCCAATTTCGAGCGCATTTCATTGCGCTTCACCCTCCCTCCGCCAAGTTTTGTTAAATTTTTTCAAATCTACTCGAAATCCGTATGTATGCACGTGGTAAGGAATTAGTTAGATAACAGCCGTCGCGATAACGTTGCGACACACATTCAACGGAGTCCGGGAGAATCGCGCGATACTTATTTTTTGGAGTGATTCGCGATGACGAACGGCCTTTCGCGGGTAGGAGCATCTCTTTCTCTTGCAGAAAGAGAGAGAGAGAGAGAGAGAGTAACCGACGGGGACCCGCCTCGTGACTCCGCGTGTGCGTCGGTCGCTGCCGCATCTGGGTGGCCATATTTGAGCAGCGCCTTCGACATTCGAACGGACGCGTTGCGCTCGCGGTACATTATCGGCGCGGGACTGCCACGTAGAGTGCGGCATGCGATTTGCAAATCTAATGAAAGGAATAAAATGAGTAAAACGGGTGTGCGTGCGTGCGTGAGCGAGCGAGCAAGCGAGCGAGAGCCCGCGCGCGTAGCGCCGTCTCGTCTCCTTCCCTCTCTCCTCCTCCCGTCTCACCTCCTTACCTAGCTCGCCTCGCCGACTACAAGATGTCGGGAACCACGTTGCTACCAAGGCATCCGACATTTTTGATCACGGCCCGCACCGAAAGCCGGCGAGAGAGACGTCCGGTAGAGAGCGAAAGAAGAGGAAAAAGGAGGGAAAAATGGAGATGAGAAGAAAAATTCATACGTACATACATCTCGATTTAAGGTTGTCCTTCCATTATGGGAGCCACCGCTGCTATTCTTCGCCCACTTGTTTCAACTCACTTGTTATTCGCTTTCTCACACTCACGCGATAAGACGGGGAAACTCTTCACTCCATCGAAAACGCATTCTTACCTAAGGAACCGCACCGACGAGACAATGCGAGAGACGCAGAGATTTCGCAGGAGGTACCGAGGAAAGAGCGGAGAGGAACCAGATGCGGGGACGGAGAACGATGCGTGTATAGGGCGCTCGTCGGAATCGAGTAAAAATTAAAAATTAAAAAAAAAAAAACAAGATATGTACAATTATTTCCGAAATGGTCGCGAATGAACACCGTGAACGAGGTATCTCAGATACGTGGGCAACGAGAGATGACGCACGTGTAAAACGCGTACAACGATTAAGAGGAATGTAAAAATTCGAAGCGCGACGTCGAGGAAAGTTCCCCGGGGTGCGAAAGGAGACACGGAGAGGAACGGAACAAAAATGGGGACGCGAACCAAAAAAAAGGGGGGCGGGGGGAGAAGGGGGGCCCGAGGGTGGAATCGGGATGTAGAAGAGAGCGGAGAGTAGAACGAGGCCGCCGGCTAGCGGAGCACGTGCTAGCTACTGAAAGAGACCCTCGGCGACGAAAGAGACCGATGCCGTCGCCGAGACTTCCACCCCTCTCTCCGTGGCCCAACACCAGTCACCGGTTAACCTGCTTCGTGCATCCTCGCGATTCGTCGGCAGTTTTCGCGTAAACGCGTCACCGTCTGCCTTCGGCTCGTCGCGCAATGCCGCGCCGCGCCTCGCCGCACCTTATCCCGCACGTTTCGATCACGGTGCAGGAGGAAGACGGGCCTCCAAAGCGCGTCCCGAAAAGGACAGACGTTCATAGGATGCGAGGAGAAAGAGGAAGAGAAGAAGGCGAGCCCGAGGACGCTTCCGAGCCTAAATACGCGTCCTTCTTCCGGAGAGCCCGTCGAAACGACATCCATTTTCACGAGCGCGATCGATGCCCCGTTCTCTCGAGCGCGCGCTCACGTTTTTACCCCCCCCCTGATACACGCGAATCAACCCCGAAATTCACCGAGGGTATGCAAACGCGAATTTCTCTCAGCGACGCTGACCCACGTGCACGCTTCGGTGTCTCGTACGCGGAAGCCCGTAGGATGACAACGCGAATAAAGAAAGGCCGAGAAAACGTGCAGGTATGCGCGCACTCGCGCATATGCACGTGCTGGCTGAGAGGAAGAATTTGCCTTACCATTTTTCTTGGTTTTCTTCCCCATTTTTCGCGACGAGAGGTAGATCGCAGATCGAAGAAGCACAGATTGCACAGGTTACTGATATCCTCAGTGGAATTCGCGCGGACGAATCACGCCCGAAACGCGCTGCACTTAACACGGAACAACAACGTCGAAAACACGCGCGATATTCTAGAAAGTTTTATTCGAGACAATAGCAGTGAGAATCTTGAAAATCTCCGTCCTCGGAAATTCAGCAAGTAAAAATGCGATTATTAAGAACTGCACGCGAATCACGGTTGGTTTCTACTGGCGAGTTAATGTCTGTTGACACGTGATCAAACGGTCGTCGAAGTAAAATTGAAATCGAGCACGCTGCTTTCGAGAATGACGAAACACGTTTCGGACGTTCAAGTTGTATCGTTACTTCCGTCGACCGAGTTACGACCGAGTTTGAAACACAAATGCGTTTCACAATGAAGATTCTCGACGTTGCTTCCGACTACCGGCTACGAGATCCCTGAGTTCACTGCGCGGCACTGTGGGAATTTAAGAACGATGGCCGAAACGACCGCTCTCGACGACTGCACGATGAGTACTACCCTCCTCGTGGGATTTTAGGTTGGGTTAGGCTGGGTTGGGCTAGGGTAGGGTTAAAAAGGAGGGTGCAAAAGGAGCCCTCTTCGGGGAAAAAAGGAAATTGACCTGCAAAGCAACAATAGGCCTTGTTCTTTTCGGCTGAACCAATGCCGTGTTGGAATTTAGCTCCTTTTCCGTTAAACGCTAAATCGTATACTTGTTTTTCCTTAAAGATAAAAAGTACAGCGTGTAATTCAGGCTGAAAAGATCAGGCCTAATGTTCAAGTGGACACGTGTATGCGCGCGCACATGTATTCACGCTCGACACGTTACATAGATTTTATGTTCATTTTACTAGACCACGAAATTTATGGCTGAGAGATATTTTCAGGTATACATTGAAACGTATTTTTGTTGACGATATGAACAGTTGCTAAGATGCAAAAAAAGAAACTTGTGTGACATAGAAAAGCTTGCACAAAGTATACAAAAAACGCTCTCTCTCTCTCTTTTTCTTTCAGAAGTACAAGATCGATTATATAAAATAGTATCATAGAATCGTTAGGTTTAGTTGCTCAGTCGACTACTTAGTGCTTCTGCGTATTAAAAGAACTTGTTTAAAGCTTGAGACGGTGTAAATCATGCATATCGCGTGTTATCGCGAATGCGTGGCACAAAGTTCAAGCAGCAGGCGTTTTGGAATGCATCGGTTTCCACCAATAAATCACACTCGTCAGTTACGTCGATTGCTCGTAATCGATAACAATTCTCAACAATTATCGCGACGCCGGTGAATTTCCAATTGCGGGTGAAAGAGAAATATAGAGAGAGGGCAGTTGTCGTATCCTTGAGTAAACTCGTTCAAGGCTGTGGCCGTCTGGGCGTAACCGGAGTGCATTTTCCCGCGTTGACGCGTCTTTTGTGCTCTTTTTGTAATTTTCAGTCCATTTTTGTCTACTTAAACGCAAAAATGGCCAAAATCGTCAGTATTAGTGTCGATGTGCGAAGTACCGTTCATACTTGAGGGGAAATGATGATGCAATTGGGTATACATTAATATCGCTGTATACGCGTGCACATACACATGTAAAGAGACCTCACGATATGCGCCGATTGTCTCTACTTTTTCTCACAGTGAAATATTGATATTAGTCAACTGTTAAGCAACAGAGAGACACGGGTTTTCCTCGTATCCGAAGGAAATATTTTTCCCATTTAAAAGACACTAAAAGGAAATTTAAGTGGAGCGTAAAACGACATCATTCAATATCACGTGACGTAAACGAGAGATAAATGAACGACATAATTGAGATACTCACCAGACAACACAAGTGTTAAAAACCGTTTATAAAACAGAAGTCCTCCGCCATGGGCGGAACGTTCTCGGTCAATATAATACATCTACGTGTGTGTGTGTGTAAAAAGCGATTTTAAAATAATTGCGTAAGTACTCACTGTCGGCCGGTTTCTGCTGGACCTCGTTCCTGGGGAGGTTCTCCGTCTCGGCTTTCTGGCCAACCGCGTCGCCATTCGCTTTCTGGTGATGATGGTCCGTCTGCTGATTGTGAACGGGCGTGGAAGAAGCAGCACCACCTCGCGAACTCAGACTCTTCTCCCGGGTTTTTCTGTCGCCCTTCTGCTCTTTGGCACTCGAAGGCAGCTCGGTAGCGTTAGGCTGACTGTGAGCGTGGTTCTGCGATTTCCTCCTCGGCGGCGAATTCGACGTGTTCTTGGCGGACAGATTGGGAAACGGTTCTCGGGCAGGAACGGGGTTAGCACTCGGGGCAGTGGCGGACGGTTTAGCGATGTCTTGGCCAACGTTCACGCTCGGTACGTTCCAATGTGAAGTTGTAACTGCCGTCTGTGTTACATGAGGCGAAGTGTTAGCGCTGCCCTTGGCCACTTCGGAGCTCGTAATAGGTGCCGGGCCGGACCCAACAGCCTCAGGCTGGGTCTCGGCGACTGCCGACGTTATAGTCGTCGCCGTTGTGGCCGCCGCCGTTGCCGTTACTGTTCCGGCATTAGCGGTTGACGCGGGAACAGTATCCTTGCTCGCGACAGCGACCACCGTTGGAACGACGACTGACGATTCCTCGATCGTCGTATTTTTTACTTCGCTCCTAGGCTGGAACTCTTTCGAAGGGAGTTGCAGTGGTTTCGACTCCGCTTTAGTCACGGTAGAGTCTACTTGCGCCTTGCTACTAGTACCTAACGATTGACTATTTATCGCAGATACAACACCGCCAGCTACGTTTTGCGTAGACGAAGGTGAACTGGCATTATATTGACTATTCGCGCCGTTACTGGAATTATTTTGGACGTTTGATAAACTTTGCGCCGTCGACGTTTGAGACGTATTGGCGGACGTAGTATCGGACGCGTTCGCCGATACCGTTGAGCCTGAGTCGGACTCCTCGGTCGCGGCTTTCGCGACGCGAGCCGCAAAATCGGCTATCACCTCCGCACCATTATTCTGTAACAATCACCAAATCTGCGTGATAGACGGTGACACGTGCTATTCACTCGTGCATTACGCTTGACAACTAAAAACTGGCTCCAAACTCAAATCATAGGGCGAGAGAAATTAAAACAAAAGGACTTACATAAACGAAATAAATATTCAAGACACAATTTCGTATCTGTTACTCCATCAGTCATCAAATCCTCGTTAGCTTTCGAACTAATCGCGGGGGAAACAAATAATGCACGTTTCGTTAATAATGGACTATAGCATTAGCGGTGCTGATACCACAAGAGTAAAACTTCTTCAGTTATATGTATGTAATGTCTTCTTCCATTAGTTCTATGTACGTCTTCTATTAATGTCTTCTTCCATTCTTTATTTCAATTCATAAAAATGGCTATATGTTTGAATGACTAAAAATGGGAAGTAATTTCTACGAAAGAAACTAACTTCATTCAAATGATATTTTTTCTGTTTAAAAGTGTATTTTTAGGTATTTTTATCACAACATCTAACGGCCAAATCGTATCTGTTTTAAAGAAGCTTAGCGATAGACAGCGAATCATTTGAAGTAATTATTGTAAAACAATCTAAAAATTCTTAAAATATAGACTTCCATTTTGTCTTCCACACGACTTTTTCTTTAACGTTTAATCTTTTTTTAATCAAGATAAAACATGGATGATAATTTAAAGAGCAAAGTCAAAAGTTCAAGTTTAGATAGATAAGTTTTCAAAAGTGGAATAGAAAAAGATATATAAATTTTCAAATAAAAAATTAATAGTACTTTAATCATTATTAGTACATTTGAACAAAACTTTGCAAATACCTCAAATTTTTAAGCCCGATGTAAATCCCCCTCTAAGTACGACGATTTAACAATTTATTAGAGGACTTGGCTCGTGCGGATAAACAGATACGAGTACGAACACAATTGACTATGAGAGAGGAAGAGAGAGGAAGAGAGAAAAAGAGAGAAAGAGAAAGAAGCCACAAGAATTAGCTTTCTTTTCTTGTAGTTTGTTATTGTACATACGTAGTTTATTTTGTACATGATATTTATTGACTTTTCACGAACATTATTTATTCTTTACATGCTTAACTATTCGAAGCATAGCTCTACTGTGTACTTGAACTCTCTTAGTCAATTGTCTATATATGATAATTTGACGCAACTCACCTGTGGCTGTGGCGTCTCACGATTACTAGATTCACCACTTTGTGTAGTTTCGTTATCTTTGTAAATTTCATCGCTTATATTCTTGCCGGTCAATGGATTCACTATGTCCAAAATCGCATTCTGTCCTCTCGGTTTCCGAGATCTTGTGGTGCTATTAGTAGCGTTTGTTGGACCACCGTTGTGGGCTGCATAAACGTCTTTAACGAAACGAGAATTCATTTGCCAAGGAACTAGAAGTCACACGAACATAACACCAATGGATGAATATGAAAGTCACGGATACGTCAAACCGCATTTTAGCGATTATTTTCTTTTTCCAAAATATAACCCTTGTAAAGCGGGCACCGGTTTCATTCGGATCAATTAAATGATGTATATTTCTAATGTTAACTTATAAAAAAAAACTTGGTAATTTAATTCCCCTTAAGACAAAATGCTAGTAATATTTAAAAATTAAAATATTACTAAACCCTTTCATTGAAAGAAAGAATTTACAGATATTTTTATAAAACTAGAATTCTCACGTAATAAGACCGAAATACGAATGACAAAATATAATAAGATCAAAATCTAATCGAAAAACTTATTCTGCGCAAAACATAGGGACACAATTTTATCGTAAAAAACTTCTATCCAAATGAAACGGCCACTGTGCATTAATTGTCAGGCGTCAATCGTCAAGTGAACCGTTATTCATGGGTTAATGATAAATTAATACGTATGTTGGATACCGTATTAATTACCGACATTATTGTTTCTTTAATTGTTTCTTTAATTATTTCTCTTAAATTATTTCTCTATTATGGAAAGTTCGTCGAGTTTATCATTTCCTTCCTTAATGTTTTTGCTTTTTCTTTGGTTGTTATCTCAGTACTTCATGATATTTAACTATATAAGCTGAGACACACATGTATATTGTCTATCTACCCGTTGAGTCTGTACTGTTATGAATGTCTCGCTTCGCTTTGCTTGGTGTTAATGTCAGATCAAGATAACTATGTCTTCCTGGTAAGCAACTTTTCTTCCCTATTGTTATTGTATATTTTTGTACTTCTATCAAACTTTACTCATATTTACCTTCTTCCCTTTTTTTTTCATTTAAAAAATAACAAAAACAGATATTTTACTAGTGAGAGACTGGATGTTCATTTTATCTTTCGATATGTTGAACGCATCTGACTTTGATAATATATAATTAACACCTTTTTACCAATTTATTAACAATTTCTATTCTATACAAATTTTGCATCGGCATTATGTTCTTCTTATTTACGTATTATAGTAAACGTTACAACAGCATATATTTCAAATTTTTTAATCATTACTTAGCGTTGAAAGGGATCTAAACAATTGGACCGAAACGCTCGTTGTATATTTGTAATGTAAACGTCGTTACTTTTTTTCTTATTACATGTTGTACTGCTCTGATATGAGTTTGATTCTTACTCTTTGCTTTTAATTATTCACTTGAACTTATCCATCCATTTGCTCAAAGTATCAAATAAATTGCATATATTCCAGGTTAAAAGCACGACTAACAAAGAGCCAATTAAATGAGATAAAATGTACACTTGTCACGAATCGATACACGACCAACCAGTTAAATTTTTCAATAACAATGTAAATACAAGAGCGATCATGATGTAGATACGAGAGAAAGGAAATCAATTGTGGTATGTAACGTGTTAATGAACATAATAAATGATGATGACATGTCGAGTGGGTTCAACTACATACCAGTCTGCGTAAGAGGTATACCCATGGGAGGCAAGGCCTGCGTCTGCTGAGCAGGCTGCTGCAGTGTGCCTTGCGGCACGACTGGAGCACCCTGGCCACCAGTCAATGGTCCAGCGACATGCTGCGCTCCACCACTCACAGCACTTGCACTTGCTCTGGTCAAACTCATCGTGTTTGATGGTGAATAATAATCTGTCGAGCAGAGAATAATTTCATTAGTCGAATTTCGAGGCTCGATTTATTCGGCTGAACGACAAGCTGCGGGAGCACGGAGGCAAATACGAAACATATAACTTACATCCGGCAGGCTGGTGACTCGGCGCATGAGCATATCCGAACACATTTGACGGTGTTAAGAGTGGTGCATGCTGGAATTGATAATATGACTGGTTTTGATGAGCCTGATGTCGCTGAGGTGGACCAGGAAACTGAAAAGGAAACCATCATTATTGAGCTCACATCTTTATTTGTTGGCATCTTGCACCACGAACAACTAGAGATATCGAATGTACCAACGTAACAGAGAGAGAGAGAGAGAGAAAGAGAGCAGATACAGAATATAAATTAGTACCTGTAGAGGCAATTGGTTGTTCATGGGGTACACGGATTGCTGGTGTGGCGTGTGCAACCCGGGAACCTGACCTTGCACATACATCGTGCCAGCTTGCACCGTCAAACTGGCTGGATGCGGATATATGGCAGTCGGTTGTCCCCCACCTCCACCTACGCTAGCCATCCCGACTACTGGTGTGCCGCTGGCACCTTGGCCTCCTCGATGGTTAAGACCTCTTGGTTGTTGCGGTCTTGGAGGATAATAGCCCTGCGAGGTATCCATAAAAAATGCGTTCTAGAGATACAAATATATAGTAATAAGTAATAAATGAAAGGGAAACAAATCATAATACACTAGGAAGCCATTGCCGAATGTTATCCTTCGGCGAACGGTTAGCGTGTAATTCTGTAATCTGAAACGACAATTACGTACTTGGTTAGTCGGTCTCGTCTGTGTCTGCACGTACACTTGCGGCAATGACGGCGGCTGCGTTTGCAAATGGGCCTGTTTGCCCATTTCCTGGGGTTGCGTGTGTACAGGGGGCGTCGTTGTTGGAGCGGGTCCTTGCGGTGGTTGTGATTGGACCCCAGGCGCAGGGGCTTGCGAAGGTGCCTGTCCCCCAGCAGGGCCTCCTGGCGGTATACCTGCTGCCGATTGTCCTATCGTCTGTATACCGCCAAGTGGCGGACCTCTGCCCCCAGGAACTCCTACACTACCCCCTCCTGCACCCACCTGGGCCCCTGGTTGGGCGCCGTAATTTTGTCCAGGTACATGAAAATCTGATCCTGCAACAAAGAATGCAACTCAACCGTTAGTCCGCCGTACATATAATTATGCAATATCACGTGCATATGTTAGTAATACGGTTATTACATAATCGGGATGACTCGTGTAACTTCGTATTTAATAACGATCGTAGTGTTTATTTGTTTTTACAATATACCGTGATAGGTGCGAAACAATGAAATCGAACGTAAAATCAAATCGCAACAATGGCTACAATTTGCGACAGACAACATTAAATTCCGTACATTTTACATGATATCTTTTGCGTAGCTCACGTAACTTCTTCTTTTAGCATACTGTTTGTATATTCCGTAATGCGTGCGTGCAAGTTTTAACATATGATATATTATACAATATAGAAATAAATACAATAAACATATGATGAATTCGATGTATGTATGTCCATATGCGCAAATGAAAAAACGCATTAGAAAAGGATACGTTATAAAATATGTCTATGCATATGTTACTACGCGTCGAAATTCCACCATTCGAAGTTCTTCGTGATTAGCTGAAAATTCCGTGCGAATGGACGAAGTATTGTTAAAGAAATTTTCTTTTCTCTTTTTTGAAACATACATTTTTTACTTACGTCCGCATATGCGCAAAAAATATTCTAGAATATTTACATTTTTCTCTTCAAAATGTAGGAACCCCGTGTTCTGGACGCATACTTTCATAATTCTAAATTTCATTTTTCTTAAAAACGTCAGGTATAACCTGCTTGAAAATCATAAAGGCAATGTTCGAGTTAACAGGTCAAACATTGAAACGACGACAGTCATTGTGAATCCTAACCACTCGTAGAAAGAAGCAAAAAAGAATTCCTCGCATACCTGGGTTTTGTTTTAGACACAAGAAACTCGAAATACGTATTTCTATTTCCAAATCCCCTGTTTCTTAGGAAAGTCACGCGACGCACCTTCAGTTTGAGAATCAGAAAGGAAAACTTGGCCTTCACTGTGTGTTCAGAATAAGATTCAGGTATGCGAATTCTTTTCTGTTTTTCGCGCAAAAAAATCGTTAGGTCTCACAATGGTGGTCATTGTTTCAACATTTGGACCCGCACGGACGAAAGTTACGGGAAAAATTTCTTCGGCCATCATCCGCACGTGATGCGCACAACGGATACAGAAATGAATCATATCGTGTTTAGATTGATTAATCGTGTTATTGCGAGTGCGTCGCGCCGGACGTGTCTTGGATTATCTCGCAACGAATGGAGAATAATTTCGCGAATTCAGCAACGTCCGCATATGCGCAAAAAATATTCTAGAATTCGCCGAACGAGGAAAAAGACGGAACGAAGGAAGAACGAGGCAAACCCAATCTCTCGCTCGTCGGGAAACAAATAAAATATTTGCGCGAGAGTTTGGAAAATCACAGGAAACGGCAACGACGTTAGCAACGTTAACGTCGACGCTAATCGCGGCGAGCTTACGCAGCATAGATAAGTATGTACGAGGAATTCGCTTCCTCCCTCGGAAACACTCTTCTATCGTATCTTGATAAGGTTCTCGGGCATGTATCACACGCCACTCTCCAAGGTTTCCACCGTTCCTCTACGACAAACCGCTCGGCGAATATACTCACGAAAAATCACACGAAGAAACACTTTGCAACCACGTGGTTAACACGCGCGCGCCTCCCGATCCCGTCGCCCGGGGCTCGTTCTACGCCAGGTAAACCGTGAATCACGTTATCACTCCTCGATCTTCCGTTCACAAAGACGGCTTCTCCGTCGCGACTCGTCCGGCATAGGGAAGAGAGACGCGGAATATTCTCTTCCGCCTCGGCGAAAAATCGGGACGAACAACGGTAGGGAGAGAGAGATAGAGAGACGGCAGGACGAAAGAGCGAGATGGCAGGTGAGAGAACACGGAACGAGTGGACAGACACGCGCTCACAGATTCGTAGAAAAATATGGATCGCTTCTTACTGCGTGGTGTGTCTCGTTACAGACACCGAGTTGCACCTCGAGCTGTTCCCGTAAGTTCCGCGATTCCTCGAAGACTCTCCACAGAGGTGTCGTTACGGCCGAACAACGTAAGCGTGACAGTGAGTCTCGAACGTGAGTGAACGCACCGATGAACCGACCTCGCGGGCGGCCATCTTCGCACATGTGGGCAGGGGCCGGGGCACAGTCCCGCCATCTGTCCTCGCCATTGATTCGCGACGGTACAGGAGCGACACCTCGATGACGAGCGCCACTCACCCACAAGCTGCTTGTTCAATCAACATTTTTCGTGCGTCTTTACGAAACGAGGCTGCTAAATTAAACGCGCGGACGGCATCTCGACGCGACGCTTTAGCGCTCGGAGGGAGAGGGGAAGAGCATTCCTTTCGCGCATATTCCAAATTTCGCGCATTGCGAAGATCCTCCTCTTCGTCTCGCTGGTTCTTATTACTAGTCTTTACCGCTCAGGAGCAGTTTTCCCAAGGTTCGCTGGAGAGGAAGAGGGCGAATGGAAAACCAGTGCCGTTCGGGAAAAATTTAGCGTCTTACCCCTTCTCACCGTTAACAGACTCGTGCAAGGAACCGATGCGACCGGTAAAGGATCAGGCAGCCGTGCCAACGAAAACGATCTCAGCACGTCAGCCTTGCCCGACCACGAAGAACTCGCGATCGAACAGGAAGAGAGAATGGCCTAGAGAACGCGATCCAGAATGCAGCGGGCCGCGCCTGGCCTCGTACGTCATTTCCGGTGGAGAATGACGTATGCAGCTCTAATACCCCACCCACTCCATCGGATCTCCGATTCTCTCTCTCTCTCTCTCTCAGCGCGGGACGGTATCGCGCGCGCGGTACGGCGCGGTGCAGTGCGGCACGGCGCAACCTCGACGTACGTGATTCCGAATCGACTTTGATCCCGTGCGTACTTAATGAACGCGTTAAGTGCGCCGAGCCGTGCAAAGCGCTACGGCACTGCACACAAGGGCCCTGAGCGAGGGAGAGAGTGAGAAAGGTTAGGTTGAGGCTGGGAGGGGGTTACGTTAGGTTGCGCTGGGTTTAAGTTAACCTCACCGTCAGCACGAGCCACGTGGCGCGCAGCACTAGATATATTATCCAAGGGAACGAGAGATTGTCATAGAAACGTTATCCGTCGTAACAATAATTCGACACGGAATCGACGAACAGGTTCACTTAGCCTCCCTCAGCCCCCTCCTTTGCCCTGTTCTTAACGTTCCCCGTCCCGTCTCGCTCAACCATCATCGATTTCCGTGAACGCGATAAATGACGTCACGGGTAATTGACATATTACGTGATAAAGAGTGATTTTGTAGAAATTGTCGAGTGGTTGAAACGAAAGTTTGATCAGACGTAAATAGTTTTATCGGAGGATGAGCTCACTCTCGTGATAATTCCGTTGCTTCGGTTCGTCGTTCTTAGCTGCACTTTCTGCACTTCGGTTCTCCTCAGCCTCCCCCCCCCCCCCCCNTATTCCATCTTAGATAGAGGAAGTGCAACAAAAAAGGCGGCTAAAACGAACGGACCTTGCGTCTTCATCTCGTCTGAGCAACATTAATAAGAGGTAAAATCGTCGCGATCGCTCACGTGGTTAATTATATTTCACGGTCGATATCGATTATTTATTTTTCTTGTATGACACTTCCTCAATAAGCTTCTTATAATTTCTAATAAATATCAAAAGATATTTTTGCCAAAAAAACATAAAGAAAACTAATCTTAAGTCAAGAATAGATATTCTCATACGTAAGTAGAAATATTTATAATATTCTTAAAGGGTTTTTAGTCTCGATTTCGATTGAATTTGTATTGACGCAAGTATTACTTGCACTCAATTCAAGACTAAAAATCTTTTAAGAAGATTATAACATTCTTACTTATATATAAGAATATTCGTCATTGATTTAAAACGATTTTTTTTCTCTATGTATTTATATAGCGACTCCAATAGCTCCGAGAATATCTCGGAATAATTGCACAAACACGCTTATATGAATTGTATTTCTGTGAATATTTACTCGTATATATATTTTTTTTTCTTTGTTATTGCGCATATCACGAAAAAGCGACTATTCGTAGCGGAAGAATACGAGACATCGAAGGCAACATTTCGAGTTGTAATATTTTTCCGGTCTAAAGCTTATCTCGCAAGACATCCGATAAACATCATCCCGACGAGACGCGAGGAGATGCGACGGCTACGAGAGATGGAACGGGACGTATCGCGCGAAGGGAAAGGATCGAACGTACCTTCGCGGCGGCACAAGGTGGAAGGCGTTTTATCGATTGACCTATATCGTGAATTGTCTAAAGCGCCGTCCAGGGGCGCTAAGAACTAACCCAAATAGCAAAGCTGCTCGATACATCGATATCCGAATTACGGGGGAAAAAATGCGCAACACTGTTCCAATGCTCGGAGAGTTTCAAGTAAGCTTCAACGCGCATCCTGGGGGCCCCACATCGGCCGAAATCTCCGTTCTACATGGATTACCGAAGCAACGGTCATCCGGCGAAATGAACACTCGACTGCGCACGGGTTGCCGCGGAAACCCGCGAAGTGGCTGCGAAAGAGAGCGAGCGACGGATCTCAGGAAACGCGATCTCGAACGAATCTAAAAGCTTCGTCCGTATGCACATCGATGCACCCGCTTTGCAGAATACAAGCTAAAACGTGAGCGATTCCGCAGGCTCGAGTAAGCGATTTAGATCGATATTCAAGCGTCATATATGTCATCGTTTTAACATGACGGCGACATTGTGCTTATCCTCGTGGATGAAGAAGAGAGAGAGAGAGTAAGGAGAAGAGAGGAGAGGAGTCAGGAGGAGAGATGCGGACGCGACTCGAGCCCGCTCGAACCCGTGCGTCCGCAAATAGACACAAACGATTCGACTCCTGACAGATAGGTCACCGGGTCAGATTAACTACCCCCAGTGCGCTCGAAAATAACGTCGCTTCGCATCATTCCGCACCGTGTGATTGCGCACACTCACACACGCACGCACGCACGCACATTACATTCGGTGTCGGCGCGCGCGACACGCTGCGAGAACGATAAAAGTTCAATGATCGACGACGAAGACAACGACGATGACGAGAACGGCTCTCTCGGAATTACGTTAGCGCAGGTCGTACCCCGAATACGTACGTCAAGGACAACCCCCTGCGAGACGAAACGTCGAGGAGGAAGGGCGGACGGGCACGAGAGGGAAGCAGAAGCGAAAATGAATGGTGTACTTCCACCGATCACGAGAGTCTTCATGTCAGTGATGGAGCGCAAAAGCTAGCGCAACGTCTCTCGCGCGAGTCCGATTATCATCGCGCGGATTTAACAGCATGCAAAAATTGCCACGCGCGCGCTCTCCTCTTCGCTATACATCATCGACACGAGCGTGACGCGGCGTGCCGCGACGAAACTGTCAGTAACGTTGCGATAAAGAAAACGATTCAAGATCTGCGTTACCTGATGCGGTAAACATGTCGGAGGAAAAAATGTTGGCGCAAAAAGTTCACGAGGTACTTCCGAAGAACAACTCAGCGTGTCTTATTATGCGATGCTACGCGTAGTAGACCGTCCAAGACGTTATCATTGACATCCCTGTCCACGTGGATCGGACATTAAAAACGTATTTAACTGGTCTAAAAATGCCTGTTACTATTTGTTATTGTCTAAAGGACCGAAGAGGAAGGAAGGGGAAAAGAAATCATCGATGTTAATTCGCGTCGTTGAAATTCCACCGTTCGACTTGTTCGTGTCCGGTTGGAAGTTTTGGGCGAGTCAACAGTAGACGAAGTGTCGTTAAACAGACTTTTTTCCTTGTGCAGAAAAAAAATGTTGTAGTAAAAATTACCACAAAATTTTATAATTCCGGACCATACCCCGGAATTATGACTGAAATTATTATATGCAATTTTTAATAATGTATACACATGAAATATATTGTTAAAGTTAAGAATACACATTATAATTTCAATCATAATTCTGGCATTACAAAATTTGTATTATTTGTAATTTTTACTGTAATATTTTGTATGTGAAACATTACTTGCTTTCTTTCTTTCTAAAATGTAGCTGTCACTAATTTTACATTCGATCATTCGTCAGCATGAGACGACACAAGTTGAACATCACTAGTAAATTTTTTATTAGCAGAATTATCTTTCGACGTGCGATGTGTCTCAAGCGTGACGTCATTTTGCCGGAGAGATTCCGACTATAAATTATTCAAATGATACGCTCCGAGCAACATTATCGGAGATTCACAACAGACTGAATATCAAATAATGATTAGCAGTATCTGATATTGTGGTATTGACGGCATGTACCGTTAATTTACGTAACAGACGTAATTAATTACACCTAACACGAGTCTCACACACACACACACACACACGAAGAGCCCAATATGGAAGTCAATGAAACAAAATCAGAAATGTATGATGCATGTAGCTTTTCGGAAATCACGTTTATTTATCGGACCTTCGTTCGTTTGATCTTTAATGAAGTTTCTCGGAAATGATGGCAAATCAGCACGACAGTCAACATGTTAAGATTGATAAATACCGACTCTCTTACTGACTTTCAGTCAGCTGTTTGGCGCATATCCAGCGGCCTGTTACCGTCAAACCGTGCATATTACTACTCCTTAAATAATTAGATTACCGACATACGGCCAACAGATCAACGTCGTTCGAATCGATAATTCAATCTATCGAAGTGTCGTTCATAGAAGAGCATTCGACGGAGGGGCGAATGCCCCTAGCTAGAATTCGCAATTCGACGAATTTCCGCTCGGCAACGACGAGGATGACGCTCTCTGCGTGCCAGAGGACGTTATCGCGCTCTTTTCTACTTACTGGCATTGGCGGTGATTACTCGGAACTGAGGCTGCAATTGCTGATGTTGCGTTTGCGCTTGTTGTTGTTGCTGATGATGTTGGATCTGGTTGAGATTGAGCGCCAACGGGTGATGCGGACCGCCCGGCGATGGCAGCGGGGGCTGCTGCTGCTGGTGGTGCACCGGATGATGCACGCTGTGATGATTGTGTCCTGGTTGCGCATTCGGAGGGTGCGTAGCCGCTATGTGATGGTGTTGGTGGTGATGACTTGTGTTACACTGAGACAATATGGAATGCCCGACGCCGATGGGTCCTACCCCGACGGCGACACCCACTGGGCTATCTTTCGAGACGCCATATCTCGCCATTCTTGACGGTGGATTGGACCCGTTGTTGTTGTAGGTTTTGCGATATTTCGACTGATGGCTCACTGACGGGGGAGAAATTTCGTCGGTAGACGGTTAGAGATCGATTCGAGAACGCTTCCTCGAGGTGTACACACCTTGCGAGTCAGTGTATGTTTTGCTTTAATGCGGCAAGACGAGTCTGCGATTCGCGTCGCGCGAATCGTGAATCTAAACTGTTACACTCATTTACTTCATTCTCTTTATATTTTCCTCGCCCTCTCGACTCCTGGGGCTGTATATCTCGATCGGCGCGAATCAGGGCGGACGTGCGTGTGTGTGTGAACTGTTACTTTATACATATATATGTATATATATGTATCTCTTTCTTTTCGTGAAACCGAGAAGAGAGCGGAGAAGAGGCGTGTATGCGTTCGAGCTCGCTTTTTTTTTTTTTTTTATATGTTACGACGTTGGTTATGACCAACGCACCTTTGCGATCCGTCAACTTATCAATCGACAATGACGCGCCATTTCAATGCATCCGATGAATCCGCCAGTCTCACGAAAGGAATAGCGAGCACACGTGGTTGCGCCCAATCGACATTTTCACCGAGGTCACGGGAGTTACGTATCAAGAGCGCCCCCGGATCGTCGCACGTCTCAACGTCGTGGAAGAGGCAAAGAGGCGTCTTCACGATGATGTTACACAGCGGGCCGACTGGCGAGAAAACTCACGGTCGCGTGTACTCACTTGGCCGTGTATACACTCGCGGTGTAGGCGTCGGGAGCAGACTAGCCGTGGCGTACACGGACCGACTATCGCGGCTCGTCCGTGCCAAAATCGATATTTAAGGCTCGACCGGCGTCTCTCTCTCTTTCGTGTCGCCCACTCCCGCTGTTATGGGAAACCCGTTGTACACACGAAGCACACGCGACTTGATTTTCCGAGAGGGTAGCACGACGCGCACGAGGCCGGGCACATCTGCCGTGTATATGCAAAAGCGTATACACAATTTTTAGTCGTCGCCTTGCCCCGCGAGATCGGACTCTCTCGCGGCGGAGCTACTGTGTCTCGCGTACGACGCGACGATCGGAAGCATTCGGTCGCGCGCCGAAAAGTACCGAGCGCGCCAACTGTCGTAAGAGTGTGTATATTATCCGCGTTTCGCGCGAGTGTGCCTAAATAAATTAATCGGAAAGAAAAAGAAATTGGAAACCAACGCGCGGACGCGAGATACGGGTCGACCGCACGGGGAGGGGAAGCGGGAAAACACGGCCAGGGAATATGACGGGCCGAGAGAAGTCCGAGCGTGCGAAGGCGAAAACGTCGACGAAGCACAAACACTGCTCTCTCACACGCGATATACTCGCAGGTATATACTCGTTCCACCGCACACGACGAGAGAGACCGGGGTTGCTTATACGTACTTGTGTTGAGTTGATTCACCACTGCTGTGCGAGTCGGAAACTAAGTGTATTGCTATACGATATCGAAACTGAGAGTATCTCCCAACTGATTCTTCCACCGGCATCGATCTCGGTGCGATAAAAGTCGTCCCAGTGACGAGAACACTGTGAATTTCTAAGCGTCCCTTCGGAAAGGGACGCGCCGAAGGACTGACCGAAGGAGCCAGTCCTCCTGTGCAACCTACGAATCACGAAGCGCGACGTTAACGCCCTCGGCCGGCGCCGCCGTGCAACCGAGGACGCCCAGGCACGTACACCTAACCCCGAAACTCCCTCCGAGCGCGCTTGACAGTGTTGTGATCTCGTGGCTGGAATTTCGCGAAACAACCAATTTCGACCTTGGCTCGTTTCTTCCGATCTCTCATCTTCGAGCCTCACTCTTTTCACCACCTGATTCAATACGGGCTTTGCATGTGTCTCAACACACCTTACACGCTGACAAAGTGGGGAATGCGGGGTGGATTTCACCCTCCCCTCCGCTCTCTCCCAGTCGTCCACCTAAAAACGTTCCCTCTTCTTTTCTCTCGTTCTGCGTCCGTAAAGTTATCTTTTATTATTGTATTCAAAACGTTAAAATATGACGAAAACTTTCGTATTCTATTTATATTCGGTGTCTCTACGCATGTCATCAAAGTGATCTCAAAATGACGAAATGCTTCCACATTGTTATACCAAGACGGAAAATACCACACCTTCTCCGAGCTTGCATACAGCTGAAAAAGTATATTATCTCGAATTAACTAATTATTCGTGTTAATACGCAATACACACAGCACGCACTTGTTATTATCTCTACGGTATATACATAGTTTATAGAAGTTTTTCGTAGAATTTTACGCACTAAACTATATTCGCATCATCGCCACCAGAAAACGGAATGAGTTGACTGAATTCCCCTCGTTAATGCACGTTTTCCGACCGATGTATCATTTAATATCGAACGAGATATTTTAGTCGAGTCTGAACGATCGGTGTGGTCTCAATGAATGGGAAATTTTACATTAAATTTTATCTTTACCCATAGAAAAGTATAAAAGCGCGAAATAAGACCATCGACAATGTTGAAATATCGCTTTGACGATACATCACAAGCGATCTCAAAGCAGCAGTTTTACAAAAAGAAAAAATGCCGTTTATTGTCGTCGCTGGCTCGTCTCAATAACGGTTAATGTTAATATCTCGATGAAAATTGCGGAGCGCATTATTTTATCGGTCCGTTTCCTGCTGACGAGCATGTAACGAACAACGTGAAGACCCAGCTTTATTCGTCGAAAGAAATGTAGACCGAATCGCACGGAAATTGCGACAGGCAAAAGCGCAATAACGTCCTTGCACTTGTTCGAAGATACCGTCGTATCTCAGGCACGTAGCGTCATATAAATAATAAATCGCCATTTATGCGGGCTTTAAGGAGAGAATCGTCGAGCGCCGACGGCATCATTGTCCATGTGCGCGCAATGGACAATGGTGATTAGCGGTACGCAGGCGCGGGGATGTCGCGCTCTCGCAGCCCTTGATCGCGTGAATATGCGGCACCTATAGTATCCTCTACACCCTACAAAGATCCGTGTATACCTTCGTTGCACGGGAAACGTCGTATTCGGGGAGAAATCACGGGTTCGAATGATGAACGACGCTTCTCGTTCGATCTGAATCCACGCGGAAATGCGAGCACCTGTCAGCCAAATATATCGCGTCGAAAGTTGAGGGGCTCTTATCGAAGCAAAGAATCACGGCAATTTGTACGATCGACGAAGTTGCGTTTTCCTCGCCGGTCGTTTCAATCATAAGATTCAATTACTCACTCACGGTGGCGAGAATATTTCGCGCCGATACTCTCCATTGTGAGTGAATACATTTAAATGACGCGTTATTAATTAGAATCAAGTTTCCTGCGGCTGTGTGGTATGTTCTATTTTGCGCAATAAAAATAACCCTTCTAATATCAAGCATACGTGAGCAGACAAGAGGTAAAACAAAAACCACTATATTCTAGTTAAAGAAATAAATTAATGGGAAAAAATGGGAAGAGATAAATTTTCGAGGGGGGAAGAAAAGAAAAGGTATGTTGGTCACGAAAATGTAACGTGTTCATATTTCGGTTGTTATAAAAAAATATACGATTTGCAGAATCGTTCCTGGCGTGACAACCAGAAAGGTTCTCTGTCATCTTTGTACAATCTATCCACAACGATTAATCGTCGGACAAATTGCAACACCAAAATTCGGAAAAGTGCAACACCTCGACTCGATGTATCCCACTTTAACGAGCGTAATCGTCATCGCTATTTATCAACGGGAGACACACGAGGACGAGGAAGCTGTGATTCTTTCTTACTGTGTTCGTAGCCGCGAGATGCGGTAACGAGAAAGTGCAAGTACAGGTGTACAGAGCCGGCGGAGCACCGCGATTCACGAGGATGTAACGAGCGCGAATAATACGTGGGCGCGGAAGACGAAGATGGTGGAGCGGTGAGAAACAAAGAGAGAGAGAGAGAGAGAGAGATTGCGCCGTGTTCGGGGCCGCGCCGAGAGAGGAACGAAGGAGAGTAGATTCGCGAATCGCGCGCGTGGTGTATAGGTTGGGTGGTAACCCAGTTTCGCCAGTGCACCAGGCCAAGCTGCAGCACCGCCGTGGAACCGATCGATACCTATATGCACCCGGCGCTGCCCACAGCCTAGATTCACCACCACTAGTCTAGGATAGAGGCGCGAGAAGGGGATCGCATGACCCGCGTGACCTACATCTCGGCGGGGAGGAGAACGACATGATAAAAAGTCACGTTGATCGCCTCGAATTCGCGTTGATCGCCTCTCGTCGGCTCGCGCTCGTCATCGTCGTCGTTATCGTAATCTTGCGTTGAAAAAAGATCGCGTCGTCGAGTTCGAAAGAGTCGAAAATCTTTCGAGTTTTATGACTCGTTTACGAATCTAAGTCAAACGATCCTTCACGACGGAGAGGAAATGAAGAAAGGGCTTAAAAATTGTGCATGACAGGCTGTAAAAAAGTGAAGCGAGGCTGTAGAAAGTGAACTGAGATGTGAACTGATAGGTCCGAAATCAATTGAGTCGCAGACTTCGAAAGATACCTTGAGAGAAAGAACGATAGGGAAAGGCATAATACCAAGAAAAAGTGACCGGAGGGAAAAAGGATCATTAGAGGAAAGACGGTAGGTAGAGTTATTGCTTTAGGCAACCTTCGATTGTCCCGACTCGAAGGTTTCGGCCAGGCCAGACACAAAGTTCAAAGTCCTCGTCGCGCCACGCGAGGACTCGCCGACTCGGGCCGACTGAGTCATAACCAAGATTTTCGCCCCGGAGATCCAGGGTTTCGCCGAGACATCGTTGCTACTATATATTATCGTGTCGATGAACGCGCAACGAGCCGACCGAAGGTATCGTGAAGATTGATTAGTTTACGGAAGTGAAAGCTCTCCGTCGAAGAAAAAACTCTGCGATCCGCAGCAACCGAGAGACAAGAGAGGAAAGGAGAATGAGAAGAAAGAGACACGACACCAGCATACACGTCGCGGTTGGCCATAAAAATCCTTTTTCCAGGGGTCTTTGAGCCACCGAGCCGTTGACCTTGGGAAGGTAGCATGGAAACCTCGTGATGCCGAGAGCTGTAGTAGCACGATCTCTTCTCTTTCCCACTTTCGCTCCCTCTCTCGTTGCTGTGTGGGCGTTCGGTGGGTTAGCAGCCTGCGTAAAGGTGGGAGAGAGGATGAACGACGGCGGCGGCAGAGAGAGAGAGAGAGAGAGAGAGAAACAGGAGGGTACTCCGCGCCGACAAACGTCTGGATGGAGACGGAGAGTCTACGCGAAGGGAGGGTCGATATTTACCGGCCTGCTGCCTCCGCCCCCTTGCCGCACACGGCCAACGACCCCTGCCACCCTCGCGTACGTATGTACGCTCGTTGCGGACGTTCGTAGGCCTCTCTCCCTCTCTCTTTCTTTCTATCTCTTTCTCGCCCGCCACCCTTGCCGACGTCGCGCAACCCGCGTTACTGCGCCCTGTAACCCTGAAACAACCCTGAGCGTCCAACCGCCGATAACGACACCGTGGTCATGAATCAATCTCGGCGAATATCCGCGTCGATACGGTAAGATATGGTCCATATTAATAATTGTCATTTAAAACTCAAAGTGAGATGTTCTGTCTTAAATTCAGAGTTCGATGTTTTTGTCAGTCGAATCTCAGAATTACAGATATAATATTGCCAGATGTACCATATGATTCAACCGAAAACCTCAGGTGTAATCCTGAGTTAAAATCCGAGTACCTCACATGTTTCAAGCTGCCACTATTAACCCTTTGCACTCCAGCCTAGTAATGCATAGAGGCTATTAGTTCCAAGTACATACCTATGATGTAGAAGAAAAATAGAGTCGTTTCAATAAAACAAAATTTTTATTTCTTAGCTATTTTATAACAAAACATATTCTAACTTATATTATAAAAGAAAAACATAAATTTTAGGACTTAAAATTTCTTAAAGTGCCGAGGCAGCAAAACAACCATGTCGCCGCTACGGCGACAGCGGAGTGCAAAGGGTTAATATAGACCATGAGACTTCTCCCTCATCTTTTTCACGATGCATCGAACGTAGGTTACCTACCGTTGTTCTCGCATTCAGGGTGACCGTCGTGGGTCGGGGGAGGGGATTAAATGGGCTCGTTGATGACTACCTGGGACACGGTCGGCAGGTTCGCGGCCCGGAGAAATTTGACAGGTATGTGGAAAGCGCGCGTATCTCGCGCTCCTACGTCGCGAGATAAGAAACTAGCCTGCCGTGCTGCGCGGAAGCTCCGTCGGTAAGCGAGACCGCGCGAGTCGCTCCGATAAGCGGATACAGGAGGGTGCCCCGCGTGAATCGCGATCTTAATTTTCACGACGGATCCTCGGACTAGATTGAGGTGAAATCTCCACATTTAACGAGAGCGTCGAGGCCGCAGCGAGACGCACGGCTGCCGGGT